GAAGCAAAACATTAGAACAAAGACAACAACAACATGAGCAAAAATAATGGGCAACACCTAATTTACAACATCGCTAATTATATACTCTGCATTGCTACAAAGGCTGCAGTCTTGAGCTACGAGTTTGTTGGTGAGCAGTGATCAATATTCAAAAACTCTTTTCGACGTTTAAACAAATACATAGTTTAGGTGGCGTTCATTGAGGTAGTGTTCGACAAAATGGTTGGTTTTGTTTTTTAAAACAAAAACAATTGCCACATGGCAAATAAAGCTGCTCAATCAAAACTAAAGCACTCCCAAATAAGCTCTTAGCTTTGTTCAGTGTTGGAATGAATCCCAAAGCCGCCTGAGATGTGCTTATGGCTTTAGTGTTAAACTATTAATTGCATTTGGAAAGTGATCAGCTGAACTTAATAGCTGTTTTGTAGGCTGGACCAATCATTTTGCACCACACCAGCCATAAAGTGCACACACATATGGCCCACATCACTCTAACATCTCACTTGCATTTACGGCTGACATGGAACAAAATGATTGGGCCCCGGCTCTGTCTTTTAAACTGCAATCAAGTTCATCTAATCCTTTCTCCTACGAATGTGCTCATGGCATGGCCTTAGGCAGCCAAAATTTGATACTAAGGCCCCATTCTTGTTTATTTATATTTTGTATTGTAAATTTTTATAAGTTAACCAATTGACCGTTTTTGCCTATTAAACTTTATTAATTAAAAAGGGTTTTTGTAACAATGTTTTGACAAGCTTTTTTTGAAAAAATCAATTATACATTTGAGATATATGTATCATTTATTCGGATAAATGATATATATATCAAAAAATTGAATATATACAGAAAAATTGATCACCGACTGAAAAAACGAACCGGGCCCAACATATAATGAGACATGTATTTATTTCACAATGTACAGGGTGCTTATTCGGGTTATTGAATGTACACAGTATCAATAGATAGAGTTGATAAATGTTAATAAAGTCCGGTACATGGGCTCTAGCCGACCTCAGACTCCACGAGGCCTTTGTTCCAAACCCAAGAAGAACCGGGTATTGTAATGATGGACTTTCGAGACGCAAGCCCATGACATGCCCCAAGCCCAAGATTAACCATACAAACTCAAATTGGGTCGACCTTTTGACTAAAATCAAGTGTAAGTTGACTCATCAGCCTAAAGTTTGGGTCAAACAACAGGAAAGTTATCAAGGACCAAATTTTCTATATGGGTCAAATTGGGTCGTGGCGTTGCTTTTCTTTCATTCTTTCTTCTTATACCCATTATTTGAATCGGCTTTCCAGACCCAAACCCGCCGGACCTCCAGACTGATTTCATTGTTTCAATTTATACCGGGCCAACCAATACAAAGTAAGCCATTTTATAGTTCAGTCCACCCCTATGATGGTGGAGCTACAATTTCTAAGGCTGGACTGAATCCTGCCCATGGATTGATGCCAAATTCACGGGTAGGATGCAGTTTAGGGGGGGGGGGGACTATTAGTAGATTAGTAGATTAGGAGGGGGCTCCATTTCAGATTTCTGAGGGGGAGAACAGTGTACTTATCCCTACAAAGTATTACAGATGAATCCCAACTAATACATGGCCACGGTACATAACTAAAATTTCATATATTTTAAGTGAAATATGATACAAGAATTATATTTTAATAATTTTAGGAATGTATCTATACTTCTATACTATATTATAAAGCGATTAGGTCCCACGTAAAATTGTTCACAATCACTTAGCCATTTCAGATTTCTGAACTAGGGGCAGCCCTCTCTCTCTCTCTCATGTTCCCAATCACTTAGCCAACCCCTTCCTAAAATTGTTCCTAAACTATCTCTCCCACCTAAAAGTCTTCCTAAAACACCTGTTAGGGTTTGTTCATTTGCTCTAAAGCCTGACATGGAAGTGCAATATTTACATTAAGAGGTATATTGGCATTGGTGAACTTCTCTTTCCTCTGAATGCAAAGAATGTTGTCCTGAATTCTGAAAATTATCAAATATCCATTTTGACTCCATATATGAGAATTTTTGTTTGTCTTTTTTGGGGGTATTATTGGAAAATAAAACATTGTATGATTGTATTTTAAGAGATAAGAGATAAGAGAAAACAATCATTTTTCTCTTAAAGTTAAAAGGTTACTCTTAAAAGAAAAGATTTAAGAGGAAACAAACAGGCCTTTAATCTATATTGCCACGTGGCAGTCTTATCTTCTTCACTAGAATCTCTCTCTCTCTCTCTCTCTCATGTTACCAATCGGCTCAACCCCCTCCTAAAATTTCTCCAAAACAATCTCTCCCATCTAAAATTCCTCCTAAAACACCTCTAAATCTATGTTATAAACCATCTAAAAACAAAAAACGTGGTTAAATTAATTTGTGAAATATTTTTTTTATTTTCAATAATTATTTATATAATTGAATATTATTTAGTAAATATCAAAACCTAAACTATAATTTATCGTAATTTTGGTAAACTGAAAATTTTAATTACTTAAGAATTGCTTGCTGAAATTTACTGATTTTGGTAATTTAATTTCAGAATTTTTTGAAAACTAATTATTAAAATCAATAATTACTAAAAAATAATAATTAATTAAAATATTAATAAATACAAATTTAATAATTTAAAATTATCAGTAATTTTTAGTAATAAGTAGTTATTGATATTTTTCAGTAATTTTGGTCAATTTATTAATATTTAATGATATTATCAAATAATAATTAATAAATTTCAGTAATTTTTGTAATTTACTATAATTTTAGCAATAATTAATGATTTTTTTAATTTAATGAAAGTTAATTTATAAAACTTTCAATTTTTAAAATAAATAATTGGAAAATTTTAATAATTTTCATAAGTATTGGATACTACATTTATAATTACCACTATTAGTGGAACTATGTTTATGGGTTTAGGGGATGACCCCTAGGGTAGGAATGGAAATGGGCAAGTTCGAGGCGGGGATCATACTCCCCATCCCGACCTTGAATTTTAAATTAATCCCTATCAAAAATTTTAGCTTGCATCCCCGGTCCCCGATTAAGAGGGCTTCCCCATCAGAGACCTGAATCCCTGAATTTTTAATTAAAAGTTTGTTTATAGAAAGGTATTTATTTAAAATAAAGAAAAAGTTAAAATGCATATAATATTTTAAACATATTTTGATATATATAATATAAATAATATTATATATTTAATATAGTATGTACACACATATATTCAATATATATAATTGGAATTGGGGCGAGGTGTGGACTTCACTCCATATCCCCAATCAAGTATTTCTATTAATCCCATCCCCACCTTGTCCCCACTACGGCAATCTCCATTCCATCCCCGCCTGATCGGGGAGGCTGGGTACTTGGTGGGAATGGAAAAAATTGCCATCTCTACCCCTGGGTTGTGTAACTCCATAGAACAATATGTTTTAAGTCCAATTCCATGCATCACACAGGGGCTTGCTAGTAATAAATAAATGTCTTAAGTTTATTTTATTTGATGTCTTAATTAAAACAAAGGATTTACAATCAACGTGTCTAATATATCAAAATTAAGAACTTGGCAAGTAACCACCCGATTAGTTATCACTTTTATGATACCAGTTGATTGGTTACAGGTTTTCTCTTTCTTTCATAATTGCATCCTTAATAATAAATGTATCATGGATGATCTATGCGTAAGATATTCATTTAAGCACCCATAATTTAATGATAGATATGGTATTGGACAGAAGTGAATGGTGAACACAATATATTCAATTAGCATTCCCCATATAATTAAGACAAGGCTTAAATGATGATGATGATATTAAGCAGAGTATAATAAGGGCCTGTTTGATTTGTAGGAATAGGGGTCTAGAATCGGAATCGAAATGGGCCATACTGATTCCATCTATTTGGTTGAGTAGAATCGGAATTTCATTCCCATTCCTGATAGTTGAGGGAATGACCATTCCCTCATCTTACCTTAGGAATAAAATATAATTCCATCTAATTTCAATTCCCATTCTCATTATTCCTATCTAAACCAAACATATTATAAGAATAAATCATTCCAACTCCGATTCCAAGGGATTTTAACCGAGTGGACCTTATACATAATGATGAATGTAAGTAATATGTATTTTGCATACAAAATATAAATTATCTTGATTAGAATCATCTACTGAATCTCAATTCTAAACAAAGTGTGTACGGAAGGACATGGGCATAATGTAGATTACTGGTATAAAGGCAGACCCCACAGGATCTGCTACCAACATAACTCCTAACTATCTATTCCCAACTCCTACTAGACCTCAATAAATTGGTAGTTGTTGGTTGTGCTTCAAAAGTCTAAGCTATTAACTTAACAATTCCTTGCCTCCGGAGCCACATGTCCCCAAATCAATTTAAACCCTATAATTTGCCACGTGTCATGCATCGGAGGACTAGAGGTGATCACAGTTTCCCACCGTCTAAATGAATACATGAACAAGTAGCTAGTTGTAATTATCTGTTTTGCCTTTGTTAAATCTTAGTAACCTAGCATTCTCTCTCTCTCTCTAGATTGACACTTGTAGGGTTCAGACCACGTGTGGCATCCTGAAGCACCCAAGAACAAGAGAAATTACCATGGGAAAGAAGGAAACAAGTTTTGCCGTCAGCATTGACAACGAATTCTGCATGTTATCTGTTTGGGTATCTTTGATACAATAAGATAACTGTCAGTCTGTAAGATTTGTATTCTCTACATCTCGAACGTGTTTTGAATTGAAGTAAATAAATGGGTCGTCTGTGCTGTGTTCTAAATTTAACACCACCTGTACCATCCATCCGATCACATTCAATTGCGCCAGCCAAAGGTAGTTGAGGGTCTTGAGGCAATTAATCCAGTCTCACTGATAGGTGGTGCGTTGCTTATGTAGTCAAAGATTTATGAATTCTCATCATCAAACAAATAAAATGAAAAATAACCTTATAAATAGCATCCACTATCACCTTGCTTCAGTGTATAAGCTTAGCTCTCTGTGTTGCATTCAGTGAAGTAATCATCACAAAATCTTTCTGGGTTATTGTTATCGGCCCCTGCAGCAATGGAGCTCCGTTTCCTACCAATCTTTGCTTTTCTTTCGGTGAGCTTTTGATTATTCATTAACAAAATCTTTCTCGTTCGTCAGTATGTTTGTGGGTTGTCTTTCGATTTTTAGAAACAAAAAGAATAAAAGAAAAGAGAGGAGTTATCAGTTACATTTAATTTCTTCTTCTTGTTTTGCAGCTTGCATTGGTTGTCAGCCATGCCACTTTACCTTCAGAAGTTTATTGGCAATCAGTGCTTCCAGATACTCCCATGCCCAAAGCAATCCGTGATCTCTTATGGCCTGGTCCGTCTCATATCTCACTTCTTCTTCTTCTTCTTTTTAAGTCAGAAGTTTTCTGGTTTTAGATGGTCCAGTAAGTTAGAGCTCATCAAAGCTTTACTAAAAAAGAAAGAAGACTACAACAGAGTAAATGAATTAACTCACATTTGTAAATCTCCCCCAAAATCTGAACTCTATTTAACTTTAGTGTTTGCTCAAAATCTGATTTATATAGCAAATCAAATCATTTTTCCAACTCTGAATGTTTTGGCCCATTAAAAGTGATGAATGTTCCAGGGAGGGAGAGGTGAAAACCAACCCCACAAGTGACGAATGACTCGGAGAAAACCGAGTCAATCCAACCGAGTTTAAGTGATTTCAATTAACAGTACTATTAACAATCCCACCACCAATATGTGATTCTATTCATAACACCTTGTTTCTTCTGCTGCTGTTGAACTTGCAGATTTGACAGCAGAGAAAAGTGCCTCTGTTGTGATAGGGAAGGGTGGCGTCCACGTCGTTGCCGGAAAGGGGAAGCCTGGTGGTACTTCGGTGGACGTAGGAAAGGGTGGTGTGCATGTTAACACGGGGAAGCCCGGTGGGTCTGGTACAGCAGTCAACGTAGGCAAGGGCGGAGTCACCGTGAATACCGGAAAAGGGAAGCCCCATGGCACCAGCGTCAATGTTGGACGCAAAGGAGGCGTCGGAGTGCACACCGGAAAGCCTGGGGGCGGAAGCGGAACTCACGTCAACGTCGGAAAGGGAGGAGTAACAGTCAACACAGGACACAAGGGAAAGCCTGTGTACGTCGGAGTGCATCCCGGCGCTAGTCCTTTCCTTTACAAGTACGCCGCCTCTGAGGACCAGCTCCGAGACGACCCGAACGTGGCTCTCTTCTTTATGGAGAAAGATTTGAACGCCGGCACCAAGATGAACTTGCGCTTCACCAAAACAACCAGCGGTGCAACCTTCTTACCACGCCAAGTTGCAGACACCATACCCTTCTCCTCCAAGGCGTTGCCGCAGATCCTCCGGCAGTTCTCGGTGGAGCCTCAATCAGAAGAAGCCGAGCTCATGAAGAACACCCTCGAAGACTGTGAAATGCCGGCCATGGAGGGAGAGGACAAGCTGTGTGCAACATCGCTGGAGTCGATGGTCGATTTCAGCACTTCAAAGCTTGGAAAGCATGTTGTGGCCATGTCCACAGAGGTTGATAAGGAGAACACCAAGAGGCAGCAGTATACCATCTCACCGGGCGTCGAGAAATTGTCCGACGACAAGTCGGTGGTGTGCCATAGCGAGAACTACCCATACGCTGTCTTCTATTGCCATGCCACACAGACCACAAGGGCTTACGCTGTTCCTCTGGTTGGTGCTGATGGAACCAAGGCCAAGGCTGTTGCTGTATGCCACACTGACACAGCGAAATGGAATCCCAAGCACCTGGCCTTCCAGGTACTCAAGGTTAAGCCCGGAACGGTTCCTGTCTGTCACTTCCTTCCTGAGGATCACGTTGTCTGGGTTGGCAAGTAGAAATTCACAGAGAGGACGACAGAGCTTGCAGTTCTCCCATGGTTTCTACTGTTAGTTTGATTGAGGCTGGTTGATGTTTAGCTTGGGCTGTCACAGTATTTTATGTTTGCTTTGGTTAGTCCCCGTCTGATTCCTATAGTTGGCTTGATATACATATTACATAAAAAGCTTGCTGAATGGAGATGTAATAGTGATAAATAATAGATGTTTTCTTGTTTCTTCTGTACTATATATTCTTAATTCTGATAAAATAAATACAGCCCTTTTATGAGATCAATGGCTAGATGAAAAATCTCATTAACCCTCAAAAAATACTGAATAAAATTATTATAAATAAAAAAAATGGAATTGCTTAATTAGATGTGTAACTTAAATTGGCTGGATGAAAAATCCCATTAACCCACAAAAAATACTGAATAAAATGATTGTAAATAAAAAAATGGAATTGCTTAATTACAAGTGTGACTTAAATTGCTTTTTTGCAACCATTCAAAAGTTGGGTCGTCATTTACAGGGAAACTAAACTAATATATATATATATATATAAAAAAAATGTCAGTCCACCTCATGGACTTTTATTAGTTTTTGGGGTTATATTACCAACACCTCCACCTATGTGATTCATTACCCCAATTATCTCTGTTCCAACTGTACTAAAGTTAATGGGAGGTTGACTGAACAATCAATTTATCACCTCCTAATATTAATACAGTTCAGTACTTGACATTGCATTGCACGATTAAGTGTTTTGATCAGTTTCCCATCAGTATACCAAAGCTTGTGCAACTACAACCGTGTGAATTTAATTCCTTTATATTTCGTCATCCCATTCATTGTTGTCTGTCCCTCCAATTTGTAGAAGTTGATTAATTCTATTAATTCCATCGTCCGTATTAAGCCAATATTGAACTGTTTCTTTCTGAGTCTTGGAGCAGAACCATCTGATCAGACAGGTTCTGGCCCTGTTTTGAAGTAATATGGTTTGATAGATGGAATCTTCCATTAGTAAAGAAGTTCAGTTCTTCAAATCCTAAAATGATCATATCACATTTTTCCCTGGAATTCTCTCTTGTTGTAGTACTGGAAAGAAATTAGATCGAGTAAATGCAGAGCAAGTTACATTATAAGGTGAACTGGAGGGGAATTTGCACTACCTTCATGGAGGATAGAGGTCATATTAGTAGCCTCCTCTGTTATATTGAGCTTATTTGTTGTGTGTGTTGGCTTCCATTGATGACAAACGGGTTTGTCGTTGTTGTGTTTGGAATGGAGCGAAAAGGGATACGAGGGTCAGAAACAGAAAAGTGAATGTAACAATGTAACAAATTTCAACCGTCTCATCTGACACACAACTGTTTAACCAAATCTATAGGATCAGTTCTCTGCAACTTCAGAGTTCGGAAGGCAGAGCAGAACCAGGATATATTAAGTGGCACGCCTTAGAGAACACAAGGAAATCTAGAGATTGATATTCAGTAATGGATTAAACCGAGGTCTATGGAGTGACAGTGACTGAACCAACTGCCAAAAGCGGCATCTTCGCTTTCGGAGATCGGTTAAGGGTTTCATTCAGTCACCCATCAGTTCATTAAAGTTATTTCCTTCAGTTGAGCTAATCGAGTTAATGGCACAACAAGGTTGAATTTCTTTGTATCTGAATCTATCAGATCAAGTGGTCCCAGTTGGTAAGATTCAGATTTCCATCTTCCTCCATTAATTAGTAGCCTCCTCAATCCTACAGACATCTGTCCAAGCTCATGAATTGTATTCAGAATGATATTTGATCGATCATTTCTTAATAGGGCGCCCACGGCCCTAGATAGATCGCCACTACTAGTCCACACAAGACTAGAAATCCATCCAAAGTCGGGGGAAGTGCAGAAAACCTTTAATGGCGACCCTCCGTCCAAGCTGAACAATTCCAAGAGGTTCTATTCTGAAAGCTTTCTATTGATGATTTTGCTGTCAACATATGGATTCGACACAGTTATGAAGCCAGAAACCCCTAATCCCTTAAGCAACCAATAAAATTTAAAAAACATTCATAGATAACAACCGATATATACATGGTCAGATTTACTTGTCATGCATTTACAATTATAACAGGTGTTGCCATGCCAGCTTCCTCCTCATCAGTGACAGAAACTAGACGACAAAACTAAAAAAGAATTTAAAAAAACAAAGGGGGAAAAGAATCTAATTATCTAAGAGTTTCAACCACACGAGAACTGTAAATAAAGAATCCGATAAATCGCATATAAAGAGAACGTCCTGTCCAGGCAGCTTGTCTATAGATTTTCAGAAGGCAGCACAAAATTATGTCTGCCTAGCACCAACTTCACTCGTCTCTTAAAAGAATGCGGCTTTCAAGCTCCATCGCAACAGAAACATCCTGAAACCACGACAATAACTATGAATAATCACTGTTGATTATTCTCATGCTGACTGCTGATTACTGAGCCACCAAACTCTTCATAAAAATTCTCAACTGTTGATTATTCTCATTGCTGATTAGTGACCGATCACTCTCGAAAAAAAAAAAATTCTCATCTGTTGATAATTCTCTTCGCTGATTTGATACTACAGTGTTGCTAAAAAAATAAAGCCAAAAACCTCATAAGCCACATGTTCATGATATTCAATGTTTCCTGCGGTTGTCATAACAGCATCTTTTTGTTCCCTGACAATGTTGAACATGAAAACAAGACGATCCTTCTACCAACATAACCCATTGGCAGTACTTTGTGCACAAGACCCCAGGGTACCCTTGGCTACCAGGTCTCAGCTGTTCATAGATTCAATCACCTATCAGGTATAACCCAATTTGAATTTTTTGCAACCTTCAGCACTCCTTTCACATGTTCCTTCTGCACTGAACCTGAACATTGTCAAAATTGCTTTGTAACTGCCTCCATAGTAACCGTTGTGACTGGCACAATGTGACAAGCAAGACCAACAAAACTTGTCATCCACACAAGATGTGTCTTTTCAGAAGCATCGATGTCTCTAAAATTCACAAAGTGACATTGAGAGCATCCACTCAAATTGCTTGCTTTCCATGTGCAGGTACAAAAATCCTTTTGTTAAAGACTTCTTTTTGAAGTTACAGAATCTAGCAAATCTCTTGCTGAGTGCATTTCTGAAGATCCCAACAATGAGCTCCTGGACAACTCAGCAATTGCAATTCAAACCAAGCATTATAATCTCAAGGCCTGTATGGAAGTAAATTCAACTCTTCCGCATAAAGAGGAAATGAACTTTGCACCCAATTTCTTTCATGAATCATCCTTCTAGATGACTTCTAAATGGAGGTAGAGGTTGTTGGTATAGGCAGCACTTCCCATGCAGCTGACAATGAATTTGTTGATCTACCAGCATAAATTTGACACTTCCCCCTCCATTTGAGAGTTCCTCTAGGATTTGAATACCTACAGAGCATCAATTTTATAACTCAATTGACAAAACATAGTAAAATTTTCCATCCAGTAACCAAGTCTTCCACATATTTATACAAATTAATGTAAAAGCTCTTTAACAGAATAAAGTTTTGTCTGTACCAACTGATGATGAAAGGCATTTCTTTGTATAATTCAAGAATGCTGTAAAAGGACTTTTTCTTTGTATTGCTCCACCTGGAAAAGCTCCAAAGAACCCCAGGTTCTTCCAACCTTCAGTTTGACCTGCAAAGGAACTGACACAAGGAAAAAGATACTAGTGAATATATTTCTAAAGAATTAAATGCCATAATTTAACAATGGGTTTGAAAGGGCCAGAAGAACTAGGGGCAGGCCAGAAAGGACATGGATTGAAGTAGTAAGAAATAATTTAAGCACTCACAATTTAACAATGGATATGACACTATAAAGAATGGAATGGTGAAATAGGATTCATGTATCTGACCCAATATTGTTGGGTTAAGGCCTAGATGATTATGATGACGAATTACAAAGCCAGTTTATGTTATGTTGAGTTCATGCATACCTAGAAGTGATACAGCATTTTCCATGCTTAACTGTAGCAATAATCCAGCTTCCCCTATTACCAAAGGATCAACTTCCAACACTAACTCATCATGTACCTGTAAGCATATTACAAAACCATAACCACTTGCAAACATTTTGTTTCATAACCCCAAAACAAAACAAAATGTTCAATCTCACAGTGAGAATATATTGCATATTATGATATTTTTGTGCAGCCTCAGTGTATATGCAGGGTTAAGGCTGCATACATCTGTCCCTCCCAGACCCCACATTGGCAGGAGCCTTGTGCACTGGTCTGCCCTTTTATATTTTTGTGCACATATGTATGTGTGCATATGTTCTGGTCCACCCTTTGCTATGTATGTAAGCATATGTCTATGTACATCACAGAGAGAGAGAGAGAGAGCTTCTTGTTATTATTGCAACCTTGGAGTTTGAAAGTACTAACCTGCAAAAGAATTCGGCAGTGACCTTTAAGCATGGGAAATTGTTTTGCAAATTCAAAACTTGAATTAGGCTTTTCACATCCCTCGGCAATCACAGTATGAATATTTATCATTGCAATCTTGATTATGTCAGCAGCAGAACCCTAAAAAACAGCTATTAGTACCAGGTGGATTCAACATAACATAGTAAGAATAGTCTCTCTGTTATGGTAAACCTGACAAATTGAATTCACAGCCTGCCTCTGAGCTTTAGCTTTTTCTTTGCTATTCCCTAACTTAATTTTTGATAAGAAGCGTTTCCTTCCCTTAAGGGTCTCCACATAGCTGCACAAATAAGACATCATAGAACATAAAACCTCCAAATAGCCCATTGCAAATAAACAACAATAACTTTACTGCATAATATTTAGTGGGAGAGCCTGTCAAATCTAAAGTCACCTTATTTGCTTCAAAAGCTGTCTATTGATTAGTTCAAAACATGTCAAAGATAACAAGTAGATAATTCAAAACGAAGTAGAAACAAGTAATGGAAAAATTAGATGATTTAAACCAAACTTTCAAAAACCATATCCAGGTGCTTCACTTGTCAAAACAAGGCTTTAAACGCTACACAAATAACTGTAGTATGCATTGACTTTGAGAAGCAATAGTTTGGATTAAATGGAATTGGAATGGCATCTTTGTCTTAAGGTCAACTTCCCAAAAGTTGATTACTGTTAGTCTGTTACCATCCAAACCTTTTGGGAACAGGTGGTCATTTGCACCAAAAGAAAACAATAAAGATGAGCTCACCCTTTTTGACGGCAAGATGCAACAGCTTCACTAAGCCAGGAAGCAACACCGGGAAAAGAAGACTTGAAGCTTTCAATTTTTTCTGCTGCTTCATCTGCACTACAGTTCAGTTGTTCTGCAAGGGTTTTAGCACCCATTCCATAGAGGATACCATAGACCAACCGTTTGGTTTGATCTCTCTCTTGGGAAGTAATAGTTGATTCCAACTGTCCAGTCCATTTTGCAGAAATCATAGTGAACACATCACCATTTGGCCTACTAAGAAGTTCAATTAGTGAAGAGTCTTTAGAGAAATGAGCCATCAGTCGTAGCTCTATCTGAGAATAATCTGCTGTTAGCAGCAACCAATTGTCCTGCCATGATCAAATTCAGAATGTGAGGTGTACTGAATTACAACTTTGGAACTAATTAATTCCTTCTCTAAATGGCAATGGTAAGACACCAATACCTGTGTAGGAATAAAATAATCACGGGCATTAATTACATGATGATCAGAACCTGTAGCACTTGTGACTTTGTCAATGCGATGGATTTTTAACTCAACTGAATGTTCAACGCACTACAAATGATAACAAATAAGTAATAATCGGAATTTTTATAATTAAAGCTATTAGGAAAACAAATGAAATAAAAAAAAGGTCAAACCTGAAGATTAGGTTCCTCCATTGAAAGACGTCCAGTTGCTGTTGATGTCTGAAGCCAATGGCCATGTAATGTATACTTTCGTGACTTCACAGATAGCCTAGCCTGTGAACATATGGACCCCAATGTACCATTTAGGAGCTTTGCCAACGTCCTGTGCTCTTTAATTACTGAAATAATAGGATGATGATGCCTGAAAATAACACCAGAGGTCCATTATTAAACAGTTGAAGATACATACAAAGTAGCCATGTAAAAATATAATTAAAAAATAAAAACTTGTAGGTCAAAAAATGTATAAACAATTAATATCTTGAAAACAACTGGAAAAGAATGTGCTGCAAGGACAACACGACATTGATATTTTAATCAAGGTTCAAAGTATCGAAAGCACAAGATACGCATGGATACGCTATGAAACACATAAATCCTAAAAATTATATTAATAACAATACGCACAGGGCATATATGACCATAAATAAGTTACTTACACATGAAAACCCTACTTTAATGGTTTGCATGAAGTCCAAGAGATCAGGACACAATTAGTAACTGCTCAAAAATTACGGAAAAACTAAAACATGCACATATATACCTTACCTTGATTTTCAGAAAACCAAAATAATTTGTCTTAATATTTGTTAATATATAAATTTTAATAATCAATGTTAGCATTAATTGACAAACATCCAGGGCAGTGTTTTAAAAGTGAGGCGCAAAAAAAAAGCGAAAGCGCTGTTTTGTGCGAGGTGCAAGGCACAATGCGAGGTGCACGCCTTTCTGAAACAAGGTTCAAAAATGCAAAAAAAAAAATCAAAAATTGCCAATTTTTCAAAAAAAAAATGCAAATAATTAGAATATTAAACAAATTATTAATTAAAAATTTAAACTTAAATTTAAAAATAAATGCTTTAAAAAACCTATTTATCTCAAATTAGAATACATAAACATAACATGTAACACAAATTTTAAATGAAAATTTAAAAATAAATCAAGCAAAACATATAAAACATATTCAAGCATGTAAACTCTTAATCTCTTTATTTTTTCTCCAATTGCATTACTTCAAATAGCTAATATGGCGTTAAACATTATGCATTCTTGATCCTACGAGCTGCCTTTGTACCAAGCCCAAATATACGTATTTTATATATATTGTAATGACACTTATAATATATATTTATGTTATTTTATGTTATATTATATATTTTATATAAATATTATATATGTAATATTTTATATATAAAAGACTTAGGCATGACCCGACCCATAATCACCCCAATAGACATCCATAAAAAAGAAAAAGCTTATTTAAAGATCAAAATGCATAAAATTTGAACAACAAGATAGATTTGGTGTAATGGTGGACTCATGGTCATTATAAAATACAAACTAGTGACCAAGGTTCAAACTTTCTTATTGCCTACTTTAGTTTCTACACCCAAAATTATGTGTATAAGGCATTAGAATGGTGTGCCAAATTTGAAATTCAAATTCAAACTTGACTTAAAGATTAAAGAATGAATAATGAGAGAGGGAGAGTAATTAAAAGAAAGAAGAACGAGAGAGGGAGAATAATTAATTAAAGTAATTAATCCATAATCTATCGACTGATACATTAGAATATTGACTCGTATCGGGTTCATATCGGCCGATACATAGCTGAAACAGTCTGATATGGGCCTGTATTGGCCCAATACAGACGAAAAGGAACACAACAACCGGTTTCTATACGTTCCGTGTATCGGGCCTTTAAAGGAACGATACATATCAGCCAATACGGGCCGATACATTGCAAACTAGATAACCGGTTGAGCTAAAAGTGGTCTACAGTAACTAATTGGAAAATTTACTTTACATGCATGTAACACATGCAGTAACTAATTGGAAAATTTTTTCTGTCTCCTTGTTATTTTGGCTGGGAAGGTGGTAGTAACCTGGCCATCTGAAACCAGAGCCTTAAAGCAGGAGTTGGTAGTGAACTTGCCATTTGGGTTAGGTTTCCAAATCCGAAGGTCGGGGGTTGTGGGAGAGATGTATGCCTCACTTAGAGAGTTTACAAGAACAGATGTTTCTGCAAGTTCAACCTCTCTCAGTGACCTTCTTAAGTTCAAGTTCCAATTGATTCCTGAGGGAAAGTAGCTTAGGCAAGTGGAAAATGAGGCATCTTGGTTTTGTGATAGGCAGAAAATTCTAGGGAAAGAGAGTGCAAGGGAATACTCTCCCCACCAAAGGTCAGTCCAAAACTTAGTTTTGTTCCCATTTCCTACCTGATATCTAACAAAAGCAATGAAAAGAGAGTAGGTAGAGGAAATAACTTTTCAAGGGTTTGTTGCTTTTACCCGGGTCAAGTGGACCTTGCTATCCCAACTGTTGGCATCCCTCCCATACTTTCTGTTAATGACTGCCATCCATAATGCTTCAGGCTCAAGGGAGTATCTCCATAACCATTTCCCGAGAAGGGTACCATTCCTTTCCTTGATGTGTCCTAAACCCAGTCCTCCATCCCTCTTTGGCCTAGAAACTTGTTTCCAGCAAACTAAGTGGTTGTGATTCCTTCTGTCACCTCCTCCATCCCATAAGAAATCACGTTGAAGTTTCTCCAATTTGTTTTCTATTTTCCCTAGGATTTGAAAAACCAAAAGGAAGTAAGTTGACAGATTGGAAAGAGAGATTTTGATTAATGTGAGTCTACTGCCTTTTGAATATAATTCTTCTTCCAGGTTGCTAATTTTTCTCCAATTCTCCACAATCAAGTCCCAAAAGATTTGGTTCCTCGGATTCCCACCAAGTGGCATCCCCAAGTAGGAGATGGGAAGGCTTTCCACTTTGCACCCCAACAACTCCTTAAATCTGTCTAGAAGGGGTACTTTCACATTTAATCTCTACAAGGCTGCTTTTGGAAAAGTTGACTTGAAGCCCAATCACCAGTTCAAACCATCTTAATACCTGTTTACGGTTAGGAGATGTTTTCCCAGTCAGCTTCTAAGAATAATATGATGTCATCTACAAAGATTAGGTGAGACACTTTAAGTCTTTCCCTTCCAACTTTGAAGCCTTTTAGGAGGTTCAAACCTTTCGCTTTCTCTATCATGTGGCTGAAGATGTCGACTACCAAAGTGAAAAGTAAGGGAGAGAGTGGGAAGCATTGCCTTAAGCCCCTGTTGGCTTTAAAGTAACCAGATGGTTCTCCATTTATCAGAATTGATGCAGCCCTTTATCCAACTGACTCACTTACTCCCGAAACCTCTCAGGCACAGAATTTCCACTAAGCACTCCCAGTCCACTTTGTCAAACGCCTTTTCCAGGTCCAGCTTTAAAACTACCCCTGATTTTCCTCTTTGCTTTAAGTCTTCTACACATTCATTTGCCACTAAAACACTGTCAATAATCTGTCTCCCTTTCACAAAAGTATATTAGTATGATTTTGTAAAGGCTCCCCACCAAACTGATTGGCCTGAAGTCCCCAACTTCAAAGATGCCCTCTTTCTTAGGAACTAAGGTAATAAAGGTGGAGTTGTTGCCTTTGTTCACAATTGCAGACTTACAAGTCTGAAAACACCTCTAATAGGTCTGTTTTTTAAGTTTCCCAGAAAGTTTGATAGAAGAACAATGGAAATCCATAAGGTCCGTGGGTTTTATCTCCATCCAGATTAAATACTGCTTTCTTCACTTCTTCCTCATCCCAGTGATCCAAAGGTATTTCCTCTGAACCAGAGGGGCTTCAAACTCTGAAGTTTTCAAAGGAATTTCCTTAAATGACTTTCAGAGAAACTCAGCTGAAATCCTCTACACTTCTCCCAGAATTGGTTCTACTCAAACATCCTGTCCTAGGGAAGAAAACCTGATAACTCTAAGTTTTGATGAAAGTGCTCAAGGATCCACAGTTAAAGCTGGAATTGGAAGAGTAATTCGTGGGAGTGGGGGAAGTATCCTTTGGGCTTACAGTGGTCCAATCAGGAGAGCTGATGCCACCAAGGCCGAGATATTAGCCACCCTCACAGGTCTCCATTATGTCAAAATGTTAGGCCTTTCCTCTTTATCTATCGAGGGTGACTCAGCTAACACAATAAAGTGGTTACGACAGAAGACTGGAGGTCCTTGGAGGCTTGCACATCTACTGACTGAAGCCAGAGACATTTTAAATTCCCTGAATGTGAAGCTAGTTTGGATCCCTAGGGAACTAAACATTGTAGCTGACAGCCTAGCCAAATCTGGAGACCATAGAGTTAATTAGTTTTCTGATCATCTGATGTATCACTGCATGTGTAATTCTGTTCATGCCTTCTAAGGCCTTGTCTTTGTTAACTTTTCTCAGTTAACTCTTAATAAAATCTCTGTTAATTTTTATCAAAAAAGTATTATCTACTGGTCAACCAATTTCAGTTAGACTTTCAATATTTAGAAGGATAACAAAAAGGGCTAAATTTCAATGTTCATGCATAACAGAGACCTGTTATTACAGCATATCAGATTTAAACTGAGAATAGGTGAATATATATTTTTTGAAAGATAATTGTGCAGTTAAGGACCTCTGTGTATGGATTTTCCTACCCTTTTTACCTTCACCCAAAACAAAGAAACCACAACCAAGGAGTATTATGAGGTGATAGGACAGATCGTCTGGTTGCCTAGGCTGCACATGAACATTAAAACTGGGAAGCTGAATCCCTTTCACCTTGTTGGATTCCCTCAGAAGGTCTCATTTTCAAACAGGCATCTGAGGTGCAAGAGTTTGGAAGGCTAGACCAATCCCATGGATGATTGGGAAAGTCAATGTGCCTTCTAAAATCTCCTTTGTATCTAGAGAGCCACCATAGACAAGACTCTGACCACAAACCACCTTATCTCCAAAGTGGTCTTAGATGACCTATGTTGCTTATGTAGGAAGGGGGCTGAACCTGTGCAGAATCTACTAATCCATTGTGATTTCTCTACGAAAACATGGGATCACTTTATCCATTTGTTCAAGAGACAATGGGTCATTCCTCAAGATCTTCCCATGCCATTATCATCTTAATCAGTTAAGGACCATAGTAAACAAGGCCAAACATTATGGAGTTTCTCCCCTTTAATATCTGTTGGTCACTCTGGGAGGAGAGAAATAACAAGATTTTTGAAAGAAGAGCAAAACCATCGGAAGCTATCATTGGGAAAGACTGAAAATATTCTTGTGCAATAGACTATCATTATCAAAGAGTTCGTGGATTTTATCTATTTTTGTTGAGGCAAACTCTCTCTCTTTTTATTAATAAAATTACATTTTATGAATAATGGTAATAATAATAACAACAGTGCAAAAAGAAAAAAAAAAGAGAAAAAAACCTCAATTACTATACCTTAGTAGATCCAAGGAATGTTTATCAGTGCTGGGATGCTGCTTGCCTTTAGAGCTCCCCTCAGGAATGGGCAACTTTAAGTGTCCATAAAGCACGTTTGCAATATCTGCAGCTGTATAAAGTGAAAAAGTCATGCCAGCAAGCTTGTAAGCTTCCTTCTCGAGTTCCTTTAATTTTTTCCCTAATACTTTCCTTGCCCTAAGGCATCCTTCCATGTCAACACCTATTCCCCAGAGTTCCATATCTGCTAGGACATTAACCTACAAGAACATTGTATAGAACACACTTCAAAATATCCAATCTCTAATTAATTACAAAATATAGGTTCCTATAAGATAGAAGTAGAATGTTCCTGGTAAGAACCAATAGGGAAGCTTACCAGTGGGTTTTCAATGTTCGTAAGTGTTTCACTAAGTTCTTCAGAAACTAGTAACTTCCATAAAACAGAACCCAGGGCTCGTATTTGTGCAACACGACGGCAGCAACCATTATGTGCTGCTTTACGCATTTGATTCTTCCACCGTCCACTACGATTAGCAGCTGCAGCAACTTCACTGGATAACCTTTTCTTAACCTCCTGCACAGTGATTATAGTTTCAGAAAGCAAGGCAAATTCTTTACAAGTAAACAGGTCCTACACTTCCCAGATAGTTTTGAATAGATTGAAAATACTGAAAAGGTATCTACTTATCTAAGCAACAAACAAGGTGTTTGGTGCCATCATAGTTCTGTCTCATTTAGTTCCATAACATACTGTGTTGGTTGTTGACATTCTGTTGGGGCGTTGCTTGCAGGTTCTGGAACCAGCAATTCATGGTTCCCGATCAGAAAATCTCATAGAAAATTGAGCATGCTATTAACTCATGTTCTGGAAATACCACACCCATTTTTACCACAGTAGCAAACGCCTCAAAATGACCCATTCTAGTGTCTATTTGTCAAAACAATACTCAAAATTACCTTTTCAAGATTTGGATTGGAGCTCCTCTCCTCATCAGGCCAAAGCATCCATGATACAATAGACATGTCAATTCCATCTTGAAGATAAATTGGGGGCATCAATAAGTATGAGTTGTCTATTACTTCAATATCCACATCCTTCTGTATGGAGCTTAGACCAAACCTCTGAATAGAAATCCCAGGATTTTTAAGCACCTGAATTTGGACCTTTACATTCCAACTAATTTTTCTAACATTTCCCCTTCCCATGATCCTAGCTATTCTACTCCATCTGTGTTTAGCTGTTTCCCATCGATTAATCACATTGCTAGTTTCATTCACAGAATTGACTTCGTTTTTTCTAGTCAAAGTGGGCATGTCAATCAATGGTAGATCCTTTGATAAGTTGACATAGTACACAGGAGAATTTGTCCAACAGATGGCCATTCCATGAATTTCAAAAGGGACAATGGAGTTCAGGTCAGATCGCTTAGAGAAGTGAATATCAAAAAAGAACTCTTGAATTGTATACCAAAGATCTAAGAAACAATCAAATCCACCAGGAATACAGCTTGCACTAATTGGACCTTTGTCATAAATGTTGGCATCAGCAGTGTTACCAATACTTCCTCTTTTTCTGTTCTCTTCCTGCTGTTCATGGTTAATATGCCAACTATGTGTACTGTCATTATAGCCAGCATTCTCCAACTTTGCAGAGGCAGGTGCAGGTACCCCAGGGTTTTGTGTATGGTTGTTATTTGCTGTAACATTAATACCAAGGGATTGAGAAGATCCTTCAATCTTTATTCCAATGTTACCATCATTAGAAGCAGATTGCATTGCATTAACTGAGTTTACTTCTTCAACTGAAGCATGTACGCTAGTATGTGATGTCCTTCCCAATATCTGCCCCGCAATTTTTGGGGCAATATCATCAGAAGACTGATTACCTATTGCATCTGGTGCAGTTGTAATATCTTGTACACCAACAATGCTGTTACCAGTGTCATCACCAGAAGATGTCCTTCCACCTTCTTGGACATTACCCCTAGATGTGGCCACTAAAAATGGTCGAGAAAACTGAGGAACATCAAGTCCAAGTGATTTGAAAGCTGAAAAAGCTGCAGCTCTGGCCTCTTCGGCTTTGTCAAGAACAATTTTGCGGGCACCATTTTTAATCTTCTTGGCTGCACCCATTTGTATCCGTCGCTGTGCTGAACCTTCTAAGCATACAATACTGAAATTGTTACTATAAAGGATACAACTGCAGTAAAAGAAATTTTGAACAGTAGTATTGCTCTTTTAACAAATGCTAACAAAAACTTATGAAGATAAATAACATAGGAATCCCAATATAAATATATGCAGTGGTTTCACAATCAACTATCAACAGCCAAAGCGAAAAAATATATACTATGTTTTCAGAATCATTATAGAAAACACTTACTTGAATTGTATGTGTTACACATGGTAACATATACAGGGCATGAATCTCTGCAAGTATCCCATGCTAGAAAAGGATGTGTATAGTAAACCAAGTTTTCAGCCCAATTATCAAGCCTCATAATCAACAAAGAATACTATTAAACAAAGTTACCATTTACCAATAAACATATTTCAGCCCCTGCATCTACGAATAAACTCAGGAAAAATACCAAGTTCTTTTAGACAAAGTTCTCAAAGTGTATGATTTGATATGTGTATTTGTGTATGCACACACATCTATGTGTGTCTGCACATGCATAAACAAAAAAACTTTAATAAGGAAAGATAAAATCAAAAGTTCAAAACTAAATCATCTAGGTACTATCCATGGTCCTGAAACTACCACATATAACTTCAATTTCACTTTACATTAGGAATCCCTAGGCTGAAAACATTCCAAAAAAAGAAGCATGCCAAATATTGCTCTTCACAAGGAAAGATGATTATGCCATAGAGATCCTGATCGAAAGAAAAAATAAACCCACTAGAAACCTACCATTGGAACTCCAAATATCTCATGGCAGATGTGTATCCAAGAAAAGAAAAAGAAAGCATTTTGGAAGAAGCTATGCATTCATTTATCACCAGTACCATAAGTGAAAGAAATCAAAACATTTTAATTTATAAAAGGCTTTAGTTACCGACGCAAAAATAGCTAAAAACTATTGGAATTACCACTTGTGACCTATCACAGAATATTTTACCTTGTGCAGCCCATGATGAAGATTCAAAAAGAGCTTTGACTATTTCCGGAAGGGATGCCTCAGCAATGGCTAAAGGTGTACGCAAGCCAGCCTTATACAGTGCTCTAGCTCGAGAACCCTAAAGTAAAAATGAAATGCCTTGATATATAGCTAATCTTGAACTAATTATTAAGGGAATTGTACATCAAATATCAACTAAAAGTCATGATTAACTATTGCAAGAAGGATAAAATAATCACTCACAGAAAAATTAGAATTCCCACCTTAACATATGGGATAGTAGTAAGCTCTGCTATCTCTGCTCTCACTCCAAATGAAACTCTATTCTGAAACTTAGAAACCAAGCCCTCCAAATCATGCCAACCAAGTCTCTCGCAGAACAAAGAAACCATTGAAGCAAACCTTCCAGCATTCTCTTGTAAGGCTTGAACCATTCCTCTAGCCACTTTAAAGGCTTCACAAACATCAGCAACAGGTGCCTCCTGCATGCCAGATTGTTACAAATACTCTGAAAACCATCCCATGCTTCCACACAGAACCAAATACAAGAGAACTGAGCAAAAAACCTTGTATGCCATATTGTTGCCAATAAATGACAATAATAGTTAGAAGTTCAAATCTATAACATACACATTAATAAAGACAGAAGACCTACCAAGAGATATAGAAGAAAAATCAATTTCCCAAAATGTATCAAAGACATCCTTGAGAATGTATTTAATTATATATTTCCAAGTACCACAAGCATGATCAAGGATCTCGGAATGCATAATTCAATATCACGTAGCTAAAAAAGAGAACCACCTAGAATATTTTTCTGTAAGACAAGAAAATCACCTGCACAAGTCTTGACAAGATGAGTGCCACATAAAAGCGTTTGCACACTCTAAGTACTTGTTCATCTGAAAGCATATTACTACAGTGTGGCCCTTTCCTATTCTCTCTTGACTTATTTGAGATGTGCAAAGGTGCACCATGGGCCATGCGCATCAAAAAAGGCTCTACTACCCCAACACGATTACCAACAGACTGCAAGTCATGAATTTGTAAGAAAAATGTCAGTCATCTGCAATAACAGCAGATACATAGCAAAGGAAAAAAGTGAAAGTAGTTGAAGTACTTGCTCATCGATAATTGTAATAATCCAAGCCACATGCAATTAGTATAACTCAATAGCAAGGGGATTGGTACAGTAGTAAAGGGATTTCCAGTTTAAAAGAACCAAGAATGGTACACGTGGTTAACTAATTGGTGGATCAATTTCAAAAGACTCAATCTGACATGTTGTGTTTGATGTAATAGCAATTCCATGTCCCAATTTTTCATCTTATGTTATCTGACTGAAATATTGATAACTTTAACAATTCATGTAAACAAAGGCAAGAGAAGATTATGGGGGTACTTTGCATGGATCATGTGAAAAATCAAAAGGATTACCCATCAGAACAAGTGTGTGATGGATTACATCATCCATCCAACTGGGAGGGAAGAGTGGTGGAGACATGGAAAGGGAAAAAACCATAGAAGAAGAAATCATGTTTCTTCCAACACCAGTCCCAATGTCATAGAGTTAGGGTTTTTTTATTCAATAGGTTTAGGTTTATTTGAATTTTGCCAATTTCGGCACTGAACAGAGTGGTATGGAAAAACAGGATTCATGGAGCTAACCAACATGGTTAGGGCAAGGCTTAGTTGGGTTAAGTTGAATTTTGTCAATCTCAGTATTTTAAAACTTCTTTTCTAATTTGTTAGTGTCTTAGTAATAAGGAAAATCATCTTAGAGGGTAATAATAGTTTCAAATGGCTTTTTTTATAATGTTATTAGAATTTTAAAGAGTTAAAAGTTCTAATTATGTCACTTTTCTTTTAACCAATTTTTCAGAGGCCAAAAAATTTACCGCATTTACATGATTTTGGTTTTAGAGACTTATGGTTGTTTTACTGATATGGTGGTTTCAGTCTGTAGTGAGATTTTAGTCTTCCTATTTTCTTGATCCCTCATACAGTTGCTTTTGGTTGTTTAGTATTAGTAGGATTGGCAATGAATTGTTGGAATTGTTTAAAAGCCAACGTCCTTAAATAAGAATTCCAATGGGTTTGCCTTAGTTCTAAAGCAATTAAAAGTTATTTTAGGTCATTTACCAATTGAGTTTGGAGTCTATAAAGGGGTATCTTAGCTTTCATGTTGAGTCTACAAATAGAGTCAACATAAATGAAATTAAAAAGTTGAATTTTTTATAAGCAAAAGATCATTAAAAAAGTTCAGTTTGGTGAATTCTATGTTGAGTCTATAAATAGTTTTTTTATTGTTACCGTTGGGCTTCATTGATTATGATAAAAGAATGTTATGCACAATGAACTTGGCTTCCTTGTTAGCCTTTGCCTGAACTACATACCCCCCCATTGGCTGCGTTTGGAAGCGATGTAAAACCTCATTGATGTAAAACTCCATCAATAGAGTTTCACACCGAACCGTAAGAATGTTCCGACCGTTGAGCTTCAAAAAACACAGAATTTTACATCGATTTTATTGATGTACAATATACATCAATAATCAATGTAAAACTCCACTCCATCCAAATGCCGATAAATCTGAACTGGGAGTCGAGTTTTACATTGATCTTGATTTACACTCCATCCAAATGCCAACAAAACCGAACCGGCATAAACTTTTACATCACTTCCAAACGCAGCCTTTGTTATTACATACAGGTTCATTGGTAATTGGTTACACCTGTTGCGCAAAACCCAGAAACACAGACTCAAGTGGCACAAGAAAATGAAGTAAAACAGAGATCAAGAGAAGCAAGAGAATAAAGGACACACAGATTTACATGGTTCGGCTTATAGCCTACGTCCACAGAGGAGGGAGGAGCAGAAATCCACTACGGGAATCAGCAATTGAGAATACAAAGTTATGCACAACCTCTCGTAGAAACCCTAAACCCCAATACACCCAAACTTCTCTCTCAAGCCAAAGATGCATAAAAGAGAAAACCCCCAAATTACATGACATATCGTATTCGAGTCGGACCTTAGTGGCCCAAGCCCTACGCTTCCACCACAAACCGCTATAAAATTTTGCCTTTGGGTTTTCTCAAATTGATTCAGAGCAGGTTGCAAACAAAGAATTCATGGCACAAACAGAACAACACCCCAAGACAATTGTTCCCTATTAACCCCCTTGCTTTTTTTGATAAAAAAATAAAAAACAACAAATTATTAAGAAAAGAAAGAAAGTACAAGAGAGGTGATAAGTTATAACCCAGAAAAAAAAAAAAAAGAATACAACCTCCTAGAACCTTTGGACACACCTTCCCCCACCAAGCCTACAAAACCAAAAAAGAAAATCCTGAACTCCAACTGACACCACCCACCCTAGCCCCTGACTATTCAACAATCAACATCACCAACAATGTGAGAAAGCATTCCTTTCCCTCCCTTACTGAATACTGACTTTCTTTACCTTTATGTAATATCTTTACAAGCATTCCTTAGAGAGGCATGAGTTGCTACCTCTCTTGCATAAAATGAAATCACATTACAAGTGTGCCCTGTACAAAATAGACCTCTCCACCCCTTGCTTAGTCAAAGCATCCGCCATACCATATGTTGATCTCCTCAGTCCTCACCCATTGTATCCTCAAATTCATCCTGGTTAACCATGCAAATTTTTTCATTTCAGTCTGGTAGCAAGTAGCAACAAATTATAGACTTTCTTTACCTTCTTGTTAGGCCAAATCTAAAAAGGTAAAAAAAAAAAAAGCCTTGCAAAAAATTCCAACACTTGAACATTGTAGAAGTTCTTCTGATTTTTGAGATGTCTTCCCAATTTGGGATTCCTCTCACTAGCGCTGATCCTCTCTAATTCCAACACTGTATTCTTCTTAGAAGTATGAATAGCTTCGTCCTCTCCTATCACTACAACATCTCATGCCAAAATAGATGATGCCGCAAAAATCCAACACTGGATTCTCCCTTCAAAGATCAACCAAACTTTTCTTCCAACTCCCTAAATTTCTTAACTCGCCATTACCTCCCCCCCCCAAAAAAAAAAGAATAAACCTAGAGGTTAAATCACCTCCACTTCAATATCACTATCCAAATCAATTCCACTTTCTACTTCATGAGTTTCATCTAAAATAACATCTTCACTTGAACTGTAATACACACCATCTTCCTCACCTTCCATTTCTTTCTCATCCTTTTTCTAAAATTGGTTTGGTTCTATATCCTCATTTCCTTTTATCACCAGCTTCCCCCACTTCCCCCTTTTCACCCCCTTCAAACCTTCCCAACACTTAAACAATTTAGCTTCCATCAGCAATCTTAGAAGAGTCTCCCGCATCTCCCACGGTTCCACCTTGTCATTCCCCCCTCTTTCCAAATCCCTCTCTTCCTACATCCTCCTCTAAAACCATCTCTTTCTCTACTTCACAAGCACCCATCTTCGCCCCGTCCTTACCCTAATGAAATCCTCTTCCCTAACTTCTTGAAACTCATCTACTGAAATTCCTTCTTCCAAACTCATTTCTTCCACATCAACCCTTCTACATCTCCCATTCCCAGCACTTCCCTTCTACATCTCCCATCCCCAGCACTTCCCTTCTACATCTCACCTATTACCCCCCCCCCAACCATTTTGCAAGTGAATCAACCATACAATTTGCTGATCTAGATACCCAAATAACAAAAACAACCATCTCCCTTTCTAGTTTGACTTCTCTCAGTGTGTGCCTATAATCCTATATCACAATTTTCCTTGGCTATCATTCTTTAGCCAGCCCACCAATCTTGGAATCTCCATCCACAATTTTCAAATGGTATATCTCCCAATAGAAAGGCCTAATTATGGGTGAGACTAGTCAAAACTAGATGAATCTAACTGGAAATGCCTGCATGGAGTGGTTGAGAAGCCAAGGAACTCAAGAAGGAAGCACAGGAAAAGGAGCCCAAAGAAGAGAGGGTAGAGATTCTAGAATCAGGTTTAGAGGTATCAAGATCCTCTCTCCCATATCTGTAAAAAAAAGGTCCCCTCTACCAACCCCCCCCCCCAAAAAAAAAACAAATAAAGGTTACCCAGGTCAGCTATTTGAGCATATTCAGAGTCCCTCAAGCCTCTCCTTAAAACCAAATCCTATGAAAGTCCCAAATAAGAAAAACAAGGCAAGTGAGAAATAGGTTTGTGTTTGTGCAAGGAAATGGAAAAAACAATGTGGAACCAGTCTTTTAAAGATCTTCCTGCTAATCCTTTGGTGGACAGCAAGTTGTAGGACCCCTTACTTTCCCTACACAAGTGAGTTTTCATGAGTGATGATGCCCAGATAAGGATAAGGATACAGACATGGATAAAGAAAATGGGATACAACTCTCTAATTCCTAAAATCCTTGAAATGGATACAAGTATGGGTATCCCATGTAAAAGGCTTATATCATACTTTTATATCTAGTTTTTTATGCTAAATGTCATTTCTCAAGGCTTATGTCTTTCCAAATTTAAATAAAGTTCTAGCATGTACATATTTTTTTTTGTAGCATAATTTGTTAAAACATACCACTCAGCATATTCTATATGACCCAGACTCCAGGTGAGAGGGGACCTATACCAAAATTGAGAAGATTATAATTTTCCATTCGCCACAAGATATGTGCCCTAGTTTCAAAGCTTTCAAAGAGTTCTCTTACTGTCCAAATTTATGTAACAAAGTTCCAAGAAAACTTCAAGCTGATTTTCCCAGTTAATTTACATGCTGATTGGTGTGAGACCCATTATGGCCCTCAACACAAGCTATAACCATTAAGGAACCATCTACCATATGTGTACCATGGTTCAAAGATCAAAAGATGGAGGAACGCTTAGAAAACTAAAGTTCCTGACCATTATGAAAGGAAAAGTTGTCCAATCAGAATAGTTACATCTAGTCGTAAAATATTAACTTGCAATAATCTTATTAAATAAATAAGCTTGTGCATGAAAAAATATATATATCTTTACCTGGTCAAGAGCAGACAATTCCATGAACTTCTCATAATAAAGTTCCCAATCAGGCTCGACCTCAACATTAATGGGAGTAACCAAGTAGACCAAATGTAAATCAGATGCAAGCACAAACCCTTCCCTTGCCCTTGAAAGATCATCCAGCACAATCTATAAAAAAATGTTTAAAATAACTCAAACTAGCAAGAAAAAGAACCATGTTCCTAATTAAGTTAAAAAACATTTACAAGAAACCGATCAAGGAATGATCCAATAGCGAGATGAATAGCATGAATTTACAAGTGATTCTTCTGGGCTGAGAGAACTGCCAAAAGCTGCACGTCCAAGAGGAGTGGTGCTGTACAATTTAGTCTCCTCATTCCATTCAAGAAACTTCCTATGGCATAGCCACCGAAGAGAATCCTGAGCTGATTTAACAACATCTTGAAATGGTTTTGTTGAATTGAGAAGAGTGCACCGAACATATCGATGAATATCACAAGCGGTTTGAACAATCCCACCAGCAACAACCTCCAAAATTGCATGAGTCATTCCATTCTTATCTTCGGAGAGACAAGATTGCAGGGGTGGACAGCAGTCATTAAGAACAGCAATAATTCTTTTTACTTCTTCCGGTTTGCAAATTAATACCTGTTTTTTTTTTGTGTGGTTTGGAGGGTAGGGAGGACAAGAAAGAGACACAAAACCATAAGCTTCTATGGAACTGTATCTAAATTGGGCAGCTATACAAGAGTTCAAAAGTATGGAATGAGCAGCACATTCTTATGCTAGCATACCATCCCCAGAAATTAGTGATAGCTAAAAGGATCAAGAGAAACAAGTCAAGAAGCAATGCAATGAGCAGCAGACATACACTTTCCCCTTTGGAATCTATTCCAGTCCGACCAGCACGACCAGCCATCTGTCTGTACCTTGTCCCATCAATAAAATCACGACCAATTCTGGGTTGTCGGAAAATAACCCTCCTAGCAGGCAAGTTAACACCAGCAGCTAAGGTAGAAGTAGCAGTCAAGACACGTAGAAGACCTTTACGATAGCAGGTTTCAACAATCTCTCTCTCTTCAACCTGTTTCAAAATTAGCCAACTACCTATCATTTATCAAAACAGAACCTATAATCATAAAATGTTTTCCAATGATATAAGGTAAATGCATAACAATCAGTAGCAAGTTTTTAAATATCAATACACCCGATATGCACAAACATGTATATTGGGTGTTTCGAGTGACCAAAAACCTTTTTTTTATTTTTTTTCTTTTCATATTTTTACAAGGGGATCGTTTTTATGTTATTTAACTTTAAAAGAAACTTTTTGAAAATACCTAAAAATAAGCATATCATTGAGCAAAATATACGATACGATATGCCCAATACAGGGCGTACCGCATTGAAATTTTGAATATTGATCAGTGGTGATAGAAACAGTAGCAGCAGCAGTACCAACAGTAGCAGTACTAGCAGTAGTAATGCCAGCAGAAGCGGTAGAAAAGTAGTATTGGCAGTAAAGGGAGGAGGTAAATAAAGCATCCTACCGTTAGACCAGCATGGTGATAAGCAACACCAGAAGGTAGAGTTTCTTCCAATATAGGATCTAAACCCACAGGGCACCTTCGTAGGGCATCAATAGCAGAAGTAATATCAGTGAATTCAGTAAGACCATCACGGATGCCGGCAGAAAATCCCTTCAGGAACTTGGCAACATGCTTCGCTGTTGATTCACACCCTTTGCGACTTGAACAAAATAAAAGCACTGAGTGGCCCTCTTGAACAACCTTCATCAAAGCAAATCTTTATAGTCAATGTTCCAGCATAATCTGTCCTCTTGCAGATGATTTTTTAATTAAGCTGCAGCATAAAATGCAAAATAACAGAAAATGTAAAACACAAGTAGTTGATACCTCATTGCACAATTCTACGATGTGGTCTGGATCTTTACCACCTAAGTTAGCAGTTTTTGGAATTGTCCGCACAGCATCCATTTGTTTGTTAAAAATGGTGTTTCCAACTTTAATATATTCTTCCAGGGGAACAGGACGGAAATCTGTTTGGTATAATGCTGCCTGAGCATACAGTTACTGAATTAGTATGGCCAAATCCGACAACTTTCATCAATATAGCATGATATGGTAATCCAGGTTGCATGAAATGGCACCCCAAATCTAACGAACTAGACTAAGAATTACAATTCAAGAATTAGATCTGTAAACTCAGCAAATTGGGTCACAAGAAGGCTAAAACAAGCCTACTCAAGCACAACAAAGACCAACCATCAATCAGAGACCAAAGCTAGCCACCAATTCCTCAGCCCAAGCACAACCCAACTGGTTCAGTCTACAGGTTGGATCAGGTCAAGTTAAGTTGGCGCATCAGTGGGTTGCTCCACTGCAACCTGGGAAACAACCTCTCTGTATGTGCAGGGGTAAGGCTGCATACATCTATCCCTCCCCAGACCCCGCATTGGTGGGAGCCTTGTGCACTGGGCTGCCCTTTTATAAGCTAATCACATGTGATATTTACAATCTTTTTGAAAATAAAAGCTTCAAAACATAGCACAAAATTTCAAAACCCTTAAAACTGAATCTTCTTAAGACATTATGCAATATTGCAACATTCAAAAACACTTGCACTTTTTTGTTTTGAGAATGTATCAAAGACGTTGAACCAATGGCTGAGCCAAAATGATATTATTATGACCTATGACACTAAATCGGTTGACTCCAAATTGACCCAGCCCAAGTTTCAAACCCTCAAAAAGAACTAGGATCACAAGACAACAAAGTCTACAGCAAGGAAACGGAAAATTAAGTTCTAAAATTCCAAAGTAGTTATTAGGTGGATACAAGATGGAAATAATGGTCCTTTTCTGTTCTCACCACATTAGGGAGGCTACATTTTGGTCTCTAGAATGAACACCTCATCAGATGTATAGAAGATTAGTAGATACATAAGCAGATGTCTTAGCAAAACAGAGAGTTAGCCAGGCAGAAAAATATTGATGCTCTTCCATTCCACGTTTTCTTTTCTTTTCTTGTCTTTTTATTGCAGGTGCACTGAGCCTCTGATCTCCTTGGATCAAGCCACATCATCATGCATTGGAGATCCTTTTGCACTCTGTTGTACTCATGTACTGTTTTTCCTTATCTTTTATAATAGAATCCTGGTCTGTTAAAAACAAAAACAAAAACCAAGAAAAAAAAATCTCTGCCTCTTGCCACCAGATATAGAAGGCCAATAAGAAAAAATCTCATCGTGATGCACTTGGCTGATACTTGATTGTCTAAATAGACAAAAAAATTAGGGCAAAATGAAGCCTTCCACCTTAAAGTGGATGAACGCAAGCATGATATCCTCTTCAGCATTCTTACACATGAAAAACAGGCTTTTCAAATGATACCCTTGAGATTTCAAACATTTAATTCTCAAAATACTTACCATTGACAATAACCAAGCAAAAGCTTCAATTCTTAGAGATAAAGGATTACCCAAATGTCTTTAATTGGAGAATGTTCCACCAGATTTCTATCAAATACTCGAAGATTTGTCACTAAAACCTACATTCTTCCAACCATCTTCCATAGGCTGAATCAGCCTTAGTGTGAGTTTCCCTTCAGCTTAGAGATAGTCAAGATAGAGGAAGATTCCTACATGGTCATTGGCTGGATTCTCTCCTCCTCAAACAGTAATAAATCTGTCCCAGCAATTTATCAGAGTCAAGAAACCCTACATCCTTGCAAGCATATTCCCACAAAAATACATGGCATTTAATAAGTTGTGCCCAACCAGTTCATTTTTGGGCTGGAAATCTGCAAAATCTTTCCAAAAAGAAAAGAACAAAATACAATCATCTAGCACCTAAAATGGGAGCAAGGGACCAAAAGAGAGAAACTCAAAAAAAGGCATGCCAAAATATGGTATAAGGGTAGCCAATATGCTTTATCACATCAAAATCCCCAACTCCACAACTACATGGTGCATTCAGTAGAAAAACTAGGAAAATTTTAACTTTATGTTACCTGAAGCCAGTCAGCTACAGCTGCTACATTTGGCATTGTTGCACTCATTCCAACAATTTGCAATCCATGAGCAGGGTCAGCTTTCCCACTACTTGTACCTGAACTTTCTCCACTACATGAATCTGCATTACCTTCACCAGCTGCATAACGGAGCTTAGTCAACATAAGTTCCAAAAGATAGCCCCTATGTGGATCCCCAACCTGTCAAGTAAATTGATGAATTTGTAAATGTATCTTAGCATGAAAGACATTTATTGAAAACACTCTTAAAGAATCTTCTAATTCTTTGAAGCTCTATAACATAAACTGGAATGCAGGGATATCAGCTGGCATTAGTAAATTATGAAAACGAAAGATATATGAAAGGAAGAAAAAGATAGGAGAAAAAAAAAGAACTACATAATAATCACAGGAAACTATTGCTATCTCCCCCAATCTCACATATCCAACATTTACTTTAAGTATTTAATATTTACTCATACAGAACCTATTTACACAGATATTTCAAATTGGGCTACATATCCATGTCAAATACTTCAATTTCCAGTGAAGATTCCATATCTACAACATAACCATATTCAATCCTTAACATATCTGGTTTGGTAACATAAGCAAAACTCAACAAAATACTGCTGCTTAGGACCTTGTATCATTTGACCTGAAGACTTCAAGAACAACAAGAATTTCGAGTTGCACTGACAAAACCAAAAATCAAGTTCGAAAGGACACATGTGCCTTAGAATTGAAAGATATCCCTTCTGACCAACACTAAGTTGTGGTGGTTTAATATACACCAAACAACTATTTGCTAGAAAATAAATGAAATTAACTATATTTATCTAGCAGTCTTCTTAATAGAAAATGAAAAAAAAAATGTTTTCATGTCAGCTTCAGAGAAAGAGTAGGAGAACAGATTCAAGTAGTTTGAAACACAAGAATTGCAGTGAAGCTTTACTCAAAAATAGCCAACTTCTATCTTGTTTTATAGTGCATCAAACATATCCAAAAATAAAGCAGTTCCAGAAAGATTAACCAATACTTTTAATCAAGAAAGCAAGAGACTTCCATCATGGAAACCTATGAAAGTATAAAATTTTACTCTATTTCATGCAAAAAGAAAAGAAATACTCAAAAGAAAGTAGAAGACCACATGTTACATACATACCAAAGTTTTCAACACGCCAAGGCGAGGCTAGGCGACAGGGGGGCGCCTAGTCGCCTAGGCGATGGATTTTTTTTAAGTAAAAACATGTATCCTAGGGTAGTTCCCTAGGTTTCATAATCATATTTCCTTAATAATATCCATAATTTTCATAAGAAAAGTATAAACTTCATGTTAAAGTATAGAAAATCAACATATTCCAACATATTCATGAGAAGAAAAAGAAGAAAGTTCGAAAAATATAGGGGCTGAACCCCTATTTCTGTTATAGGAAAAGAAGAAAAGAAAAGGTGGAAGAAGAAGAAGAAGAAGAAGAAGAAGAAATTAGTATATAAAAACACAAAATTAATAAAGAAAAAGAAGAAAATTTGTTGATTGGACAACATTTTGTGTTCTTTCTTACTTATTGGTTCAGGTTTTGAAGTCTTTGAGGGTTCAATACAGCATTTAGCAATGTTTGTGTTGATTAAACCCTAACAAATAAGAAAATAACAAAAGGAAATTAATATATAAACACACAAAATGAATATTTTAGTTTAAAAATGTCTATTTTATAATTATAACCTCAAAAAATTAAGAATATAAAAGTTTGTTATAACACGCTGACGCTATAGGAAACTGCTTGGTGATTAGGCGAGGCGAGATTCCAAGGGCGCCTTGTCACCTTGACAACTAAGATACATACATACATACATATATAGAAATATCCATAAGTTCTGGATAGTAAGACAGTATACCATATGCAGTTCATCTATCACAATAATTCCTACTTCAGAAAGACGCCCCTCTTCCAACAATCTGTTAACTAGAGAATTCGCTTTCTCTATTGTGCAGACAGCTATAGACGTATCCTTAGGAAGTGTCCCACCACCTTGGTTTCCATAAAAACCACGTACATGCTTTCCTAGAGTCTCCAGAAGTACCTCCAAATGCTCTGCCTACATCAAATAACAGACAACTTCAGTAGTAAGTAGTGGCTATGGTAACACCAAGAATTTAAAGAGACATGTGTACCTTCTCGGCACAAATCGATACATATGGCAGTACAAGTAATGCCATCCTTCCAGTTGAGATGACACGCCGCAACATCAAGATTTCAGCAACAAAACTTTTACCTGCACTGTGATGAAGTAATTCACATTTTCAGACAGATGTTATGAAAATAAAATGCTTTAGAATGAAAGAATATATGACTTTGCCTATTACTCAAGCAGCTAATAAGTCATTTAAAACCCAAAATGTTCATCAAACTATAACAGAAGCTCAAGCCTGGGTTTATAGTTCAACAAACCAGATTGACTGACATACTGTTTCAAAGTTTTTAGAATGGAAAGTTAGAAAGCAGTCAAAAGCAATCAGAAAAATAAAAGAATAAAAACAAAAGGAGAAAGTATATTTATGACAAGCTCCACAAGCTCTTTTCCGGACCACATTTTGCTACCATAGGAAATTGGGTGGATAAGACAGCTTATACTTCCAAAACCTTAGCACTTTCTATCAGTTGATGAAAAAAACTTGAACGGCTGTAATCTATCAGACTAACATAACATACTTAAAAAAACATATGTGACATGTCTAAAATCTTTCAGCATTTTCCAGAGTAAAACCCAGCCATTTTGATCAGAAGAATTGTTTGAGCTTATAGTTACAGCAGTGGTGGTGGCTGCTTTTTGCATGGACCCAAATGGTGACATCAAGCTATTCAAGCCAAATAGTTCCACAGCTCAACCACCATAATTGAAAGGTTTTTGACTTAAAGGGGTGTTGAGGCCCTAGTTAGTTTGGGGGTCTGCCAACCTAGTAAAGACTTAAGAAGCCTGTTGATAGTTTAAACAGTTAAACTGTACAGTCTCCAATTCAGCTTTTAAAACATTTCCCCAATAAAACTATAATATTTCCAAATATAGGTAAAACTGACAGCAAAAAGAAGAAGAAACAATGTCAAACATAGCAAATAATGCATATCATCCAACAAGGGGAACAATCAGAAAAGAAATTTTCGATAGAAATGTTGGCCATGTTAACAAAAGTAACCAAGGAGATACTACCCTGAAAACAAAGAAACACAAATCAAGCCATAAACAAACTACACTACAAAAGGAGTGTGCGCCTTTTGAAAGGGGTGCACCTAGGACGTGGGTGAGGCGCATACCCCAAAATGCCCCTCACCTATGTGCCTAGGCGCGCCTCATCACTGTGATATCCAAAAGAATATAATTGGTAACAAGAACGCCAAAGTGGCAAAATGCATAAGCAGGTCAGCTAATACTATGGCTGATTCTTTGGCCAAACAGGGGGTTTCCAGGGAGGATCTTTTTTTGTGCTACATTGTAACTTGTTCTAGTATATTGGAAAGTTGTATTTAACTAGCTTGGAAAGGTTGCATCTCGTGCCTCTCCTTGGGGACATTGTACTATTTAACATTGCTGATTAATAAATTTCTTTCAATTATCAAAAAAAAAAAGACCAAAGTGGCAAAATTCAAGATGAACTACACTTAATTTTATAAGTAATACCTTGTGGAGGCACAATAAACAAGGTTTCTTCTCTGCAACACACCATCCACCTGAAGGCAGTCAACCTAAAAAAAAGACAATGTTAAATAGATTGTAAATATTTTGAACAGAAAGCATATTGAACCATAACTAGAAAATAAATTAAACAAGTTATGATGCTACAACTTGATGCTTAGACTTAAGCAGGCAAGAACCTAAATGATGTAAATAACAGGGAAGGCAAGGTTATTCAGCTTAACATCAATAAATACTAAATGGACGTATGGAACCTAGAAAAGCAGATATCCAACCTATTTGCTTTCCAATAGAATAAAATTCAAATGAAAGTCTGCAGGCCTGATGAATTAAAAAAGAAAAGACAAAAGAAGGGAAAATGAAGTCTAATGAAAGATGATGCAAACTTACCATTACATGAAGAGTGCATAAGAAATAAGAGGGAATGCAGGAGAGGGTGAAAGGAAGGAGGAATGGAAGTGTAAAGAGAGGAAGAACCATTTCCTGTCCCATGTTCTAGCCCTACAGCGTACTTCATCTGCATAACCCCCACATGACATTGAGCATGATATCAAGGTGTTTATTTTTAGAGAGGCAAGAAAAAATTGATTTGAAATTTCAAATCTCTAGAAGGTAAGCACACAAATCAACAATGGAAGAATATTTTCCTTTGTAAAAAAAATAATATTGAAAGCTATCCAAACAGAAGAAAAGCTATGTCATGCTTGTCTTAACTCCAAGGTTTTAGCAAATGCAACAGAGAGAAAGCCTAACAGGATAAGGTAGACAGACTTCAACTAAAATTTCACTACTTACCTGCCAAGGGTATAGTTTTGAAATGCCTCTTTTTCTGTAAACATGGCATAGCTCAGAAGGAAGCCAATTTTTCAGGTCTAAACAATCTTTCAGTGGAATAGAACTGGATGGTGTACTAGTGGCATCATATTTGCAGCGATTGGCTTTTTGCCTTTCACAAGATGTAATGCTGTTATTCTCTTGACCCAAAAGAACCCTCTCGTTTTTGGCTTCTGGCAGGATAGTAGTCACATCTTGAATATGAGATAACTCTCTATTGACAGTTGAAGATGGCACACCAAGATCCATATTCAAGGAAACAGGAAAAGATCTGGTTTCACCCTCAGAGGTAAGCCTTCCATTTCTTTGAGCTTTAGAATGAGACAGAATCTTTGTGCTCTCTGGGGCCTTGTCAATTATTGAACCACTATGACATTGTTCATTATCTTTATGTGTAATACTAGTCCCACTATCCGTGGAACATTGATGGGGAGAATTGTCATTCAGGTTCCTGTCCTCATGCAGGAAGTCAAGATGCTTAACAGGCAATGGGGAGACTTCTTTATCAGGAACTACAACAGGATATTCAACAATTTCTTTGGCATGCTTTTTTTCTGATTCCAAAGAACATTCAAGATCCAAATGCCTGGATTTGCTGTTACCCTCATCGAATTTGGCCTTGAACCTTACATCACACAATCCATCTCTCAAATTGCATGTGTTCTTTTGCCCATTATGGCTACTGATGTCATTAGTTTCTTCAGCAACCTGCACTGAATTTTTACCAACTGGAGCAAATAAACCATCAGCTACTTGGATTGCTTCATTCCAGAATGCTTCTCCAGGAGAAAAGATGGAGCTTCCTCGTGCTGAATTAGGTGTTTCACGAGTACATGCATTACTGGTTGATGCATCAGGTGTATGGCATGATACCATGTTTGGGTTTGGTTTGGGTGTTTTGTTGCATTTTCTCAGGCTTCCACGGACCTCAATGGGAATATTACCACTTATCTGCAGAAAATTTCACCACAATCAACAAAAACATATTATAGAGCTAAAATTGAGAATGTTCTCACTTACATCATATTCTCCAGAATGTCCAAGCATAGCATCTCCAGGTTTGGAACAAGCATTTTTAGCATCTAATTGGGACCGGTCCTGGGTGGAAAGACATTGCTTCTTGGTCAATGACTTACCCTCTATCTCTATAAGAGATGGGCTACTTAATCTCTTGTGGACATTCAATTTCGGATCTGATGCTGAATTTACACTTGACGAAGGTTCACTGCAAAGACAAGGAAAACATCCCAAGATTAAACAAAGATGCATATGTAGAGAAAAATCAGGAGGTAATGTTTAATCAATAATACTAATGATTTTGATAAACATTAATAAAAGAAATCATTTGAATGTTCTTTTTTATAAGCCTGTACCGGCAATACAAAGACAAAAAGTCGGCTGCAAACTGTTTGAGTTCATGATTATCCGGGCCAGGTGAGGAGGCTCCTATTGTATCCTCCACAGAGGCATGAGCTGAAATGCCAAGCGCTTTAGAACAAACCAACGGTGTCACTTTAGAAACCTCTCCAAGGAGCTCACCCGTTTGTCCACACTCCTTGGGTGATAAAAGGGATTCTTTCCGTGTAACTTCTGAAGATAAATTAGTCTCCAACGTCAACTTCTTTTTAACCGTATCTTGCCATGACGATGCACTGCAATCTGCTGATGCAGTCCGGACAAGAGAACTATCGTCCTGAGAATTCACGAGGAAGTTGTCCAAAGTACCTTTGGCACCAGGGGAGCTATTCGACGCAATTCTTGCATCCTTAGCAGTTCTCCCCGACTTTACACTGGGTGACAAAGGCTTCTTTTTCCTCGAAGAGAAAAACTGCACGTAGTAGCCATTCAGAGAAATGAGAAAAGAATGAAGAAGAAATAGACCAGCCAAAGCCTAAAAAATCATGTCTTTACAAAATTTTAAACTAAGCATTGTGTATGCTCGAAAGATCAAAAGTTTGCAATCAAATACTGAATTTTTCGACGAACTAAAAAAAATTCTTCGATAATCAAGAAAATTAGAAGTCGCAATAATACAAGCGCTCGTAAAGATAACAAACTAGATATCCCTTAAATGAATGATTTACGAGAAGGCTCTCCAGAAAAACAAAAAATCAAAAGAAGAATGCCAAAACAGAAAAAGGGGGACGTTCCGGAGATCTAGGGTTTGTGTTGTGGGAGAAGAAAGATTAGAATGAAACCTGATCAATGCGCGTCCGAGGCGAACCAGACGCCATTATCGACGAGACGTCTCGGGCGAGTCCCGAACTCTAGTCTCTAGCTCAAGAGTCTCGTAGAGATTGTCTCAGGCATGGAGGTCCCAGTGCGACCGTTTTGGATCCGAAAAAAAACCCGCCAAGCAAGCTTTTCTACAATTGCAGAGGAGAATGCAGGAACAATGGCGATTGGCGAAAGGGGGAAAGATACGATGTGAGAGAGAAACAGTGCTTCAAAGTTCAAAGTTCAAATTTTGGTGTGGGAAAAGGTCTTGGGCGCTTGGCATCGCAGCTACATTCTTTGGTGGGAAATCGGAACTGGCGAACCGCCCAAGTGACATGGATCGTCTTATGGGCCCATAGAAGACCCACAAACAAGCCACAACTATTATGCGTGCTGAGAAACGCAGAGGCCTAGAGCCACCATGAAAGGGATCCAACTCCAACCAAAGCACTGTTGAAATAGCAAAAGCTTAACATAATAGCATTTATGCCTCGACCAGAGTAATTTGGTTGCATTATAAACTTGGTTAGGGGTGTCAATTGGACTGGATTTGGTCCAATCCCCTCCGGTCCGATATGAATCCATTACAGATGGACCAGGTCTATTCCAATCGGATGAATACTTTGGATTAATTTGGATTGGTCCAATTCAATGTCTGGACTGTCCAATCTGTTCAAATTGGTTTTAATTTAGATTGGTTCCAACCCAATTCAATGTCTGGACTGTGCCGTATCCTTGTCTTCTAACAATGGACCAGATATTAGTTCAATCCGACCCATTTTAATATAAATCATTATGGATGGATCAGGTCCACTCCAATCCAATAAATACTTTAGACTGTTAAGTCTGGACTGCCCAATTCAATATGTCTTATTGGTCCATCCAATCCATCCAAATTGATTTTTATTTGGACAGAGTCCACCCCAAAACTGATTCTTGACACCCCTAAATGGGTGAATTGGGGGATCATCCCCAAAGCATGTGCAAAACAAGAAGCTAGTAGCTGGGAAGAAATTGAAGATTCTTGAATGATTGAAATTGGAGTGAAAATTATATTTAACAGATGTAGAAATAACTATAATAAGTGATAAAATAAGACAAAGTAAACTAAGACAATTTGATCACATGTGTAGAAGACTATTAACAGCACCAAAAAGAACTTATGTAATCAGTTGCAAGTTAAAATGGCTAGAAGGAACAGGGGTAGACCAAAAAGGACATGCATCAAAGTAGAAAGATATGACTCAACCTCATAACTATGGCAACAAAGAGAACATAATGGTAAAACAAGATTCATGTTTTTTTTTTTTTGGAACTTACCCGTATATAATTGGAACAAGCACATTAATGATGATGGTGATGATAATGATAATGGTGATGACAATGATGATGGTCTCTACCATAGTGCAGTTGTGACAAAAATTCATAAATACGGATGCATTTGCAAAGTAACAAGTTTCAATGACTGTGTTTGGTTTGAAAGAAAAGGTAGGGTAATGAAGGGAAAGGATTTATGCATTTTTTATTTTGAACATACACATATAATTGGGGGGAACAAGACATTGATGTTGATGATTGTATCTGCACGGTGTTGCTGATGTGTGGGTTGGAAGCACCGTTTTCTAAGAAAACAGTGTTTTTTTTTTTTTTCTGTTTGGAAATGTTGCTGCCAAGTAAGAAGTTTCCTAGAGCAAAAGCAATACTTTCTGTTTGGTACCAGTGCTCCATATATGTTTTCAGCACTGGTACTCATTATATGAAATCTACATCATGCCCTCGTTGGCAGCAACAAGCTGCAACCTGAGAAAACGTCAAATCCAGCGTTGCACCAAACCACGCCTTCTCGATATCCAAGACGTGGCTCAGAGCACTGTTTTTTATGGAAAAACGGTTCCAAACATATTGGCGTTTCCTGAAGCACCGTTTTTTCCGATATGACACTGATGTATCACCGTTTTCTGGAGCAATGGCATCGATGCCAAACAGACACTTAGTCACAAGTTAAATCTGCGCCCTTTCCCTACCTTTTATTTCAAACCAAACACAGCTTAAAAACCTACTCATAAGAGAAGAAAATTAAACAGAAGATGTCACTGCTACCTTCACCAACCATCTCTTGATAACTCACTATGACCATCATGCAGTTAGTTCATGGTTTCATTTGTATGATGCAAGAAAAAAGTGGGGCTATCGCAGGCGTTCTAGATCCAACTGTTCAAATGTTTGGCTTTTTCATCACCTTAAAATCTTTTATATATGTGTTTGGTTCGAAAGAAAAGATGGGGAAAGGTAGGGAAACGTGCATTAGTTGAAGTTTCAGCTAGCAATGTTACTCGAAGAAAAGCTCCAATACGTGGAACGGATTTGGCATTGAGGCAAGGAGAATGTATACATGGCGATGGAAAACCAATGAATTAAATAGAGAATCAGAGATAATTTTAGGAGTGCGCTCTGAGCTTTCATTAAGTCATTGCATGGCAAGCTTTGCCTTCATAAATAGTACTTGTATGTATCTCGTGATGATGTCTAGTTTCTTCCGACTGAACCTTTCAAGCAACAAGTATGAAATATGAACTACCGACTCAAACCAGAAAGAAATTTGCTTAATATCAGAGTGCTAATAATATTTGCTTTATCAAACAATTATACAGACAAGGATCTTTACAAAGAAGATTTCAATCAGCATAAATCCATATACTAGTTCCCAACAACTCACAAAAAAGAAAAAGAATTAAAGAGAGAACCAGATCCTCTCACTCCATAAAACTGCAACCTATAAAACCTGATACCACATATCGTCCAAGGAAAATCACCAACAAGCAACTCATCTGAGCAGTGAAGCCCCATATTTCAACAGCAACAGATGGCTACTCGCGACTGCAGATGTGGCGCACCTGCATCACCAAACCCACCAACGGGGCATTCTGGCAAGTCCCCATATAATGTGTATATTCTGCACTAATATGATGCAAAACGCCAAACCTAATAAGAAGTGACTCCAATCATCACCCCGTATGAAATCAGATCCCAGAAGACACCAACACATTGTATTCATTCAGACGCCTCTGGAAATTAGCCAAGCGGGTCTGCAACTGCAAAATTCCTGCAGCCTTCTGAGTAAGAATAGTGTTCAATCTGGAGATGTAATCATCCAGCTGATTTCCCGGTTGTTCTGCTTCCACCAAGAGCTTCATTTCCTATAACAAACAAATAAATATTAGACCATCAATTATCATCATCTCAGAGAGATAGGATCGGATGATAAAGCATATTGGCTAACCTCTCGAACAATATCTAATGTCTCTTCCACCTGTCTCCGGTGAGCGCCAACAAGATCTTCCTCTTCCTAAAATCATGAATCGTATGTTCAACATGTCAGAGAAATGAGACCCAAATAAATAGATAATATATCACATTATCGATGCTTTTACCTCTAATAGAGCATTCAGATCATCATCGGAATGTGAATTGTTAGAATCAACACCTGGAATATCCTTCCATTTCATCAGACTATCGCTATTCCTGACCTTATCCTCGGCAGTTGAGATCTGGTACTTCTCCATCTTTCCATTCTTCTTTCGCACTGGCTTCTCCTGCTCATAGAATTCATCAGGCAAATCAAAATCTTCAGCACGGGTGCCACCCCGACCACCTCTCTGATCGTTTGGGAAATCAAAATCCTCCCTCCCACTAGGTACTCTATCCATGTTGAAAGGAGGAGAAGTTTCCTTTTCAAACTGTTTTGACCATCCAAATCTGTTGGTTTCATTGGGAACATCAGAGACATTACTATCAAAAGTTGTAACCGTCGGTAGAACTGAAGATAAGGGCAATGCAGTTGACTCTCTTGGGTTTAATGCTGACGACAAAGGATCCTTTTTGGAGTTGTTCCCTTTTGAAAGGCTCTTAACCCTGGTAAGTAAACATTTATTAGACATGCAGGAAGTAAAAAAGGTGTAACACCATGCAAACTCCTATATCTTAGATTATCAATTGTCACCTGTCAGCATATCTTAATGTATTCAGGGTATGTTCACATGATCCTGAGTTTGGTGAAATGCAAGATATCATAACAGTTCGTGAGTCGCCAACAAAAGAATCTCGAAGAACTTCCGTCAGTTTACTCCCTCTGAAAGGAATATGCCCTTGGTCATTGTCAAGTGCTCGAATGCATTCCTTCAATGCAAGTAAACTTTTATTTATCTCAGCACCTTCCATTCTGCACCAAGAAGTATACAGGTCCAGCAAATTAGGGACAAGCCTACCAAAAAATTATCAAGGGAATTCAAGGACAAAATAGCATTCTACCACCGTCAGGGCAAATTAAGTAGTACATGGAGGAGGGAAAGACCCACAAAGGGATGCGCTCCAACCCTCCAACTGTGTTATTTGGCAAATTCCACTAACTTGGATAAACCCACTAGACCTCACAATTATTTTAGAATAGCCACCAACAATTTTTTCAAGAGATTCAACCTAGAATATTTGGTTAAGAAAATAGATTGGGTATGATTTCTTCTATCATCCACCTAGATCTGTGACCTACCAAACACAAAGTCCTACACCCAACATGTGCATTACATGCACCACCATGCATTTGGTATGCCTTGTCAGCAAGACACTTGGGATCAAATCTTGCCTACCTGGCTACCCCCCCCCCTCCCCGAAAAAAGAAGACATCAAAAAAGAAATCAAATACCTTGTCTGCTTGTCATTATCAGTGGTATCTGCACCTCGCTCACTTCCAGCAAGATCTATGAAGGAGAGTTTGCCAACCACCCGGGCAGGCTTCGATTCACTTCCATCGACTGACCTCTTGATAGCAAGTTGCAGTATGGCATGCGAGCGGGAAGACTCCTCATTAGCACCAGTTGTACCTGTACTTCTAGTAGCATTTCCTTTCTCGATAAACTCCCTGATTGTCTCCACATTAGATACTCGGTATTCTTGCAAACCCACAATGCACACTTGCTGCTTACCATCCTCTCTCATACAAAGCTTTCTGCAAAAGCAACGAATCAGGTGAAGAAAATAAACCTCCGGAGTGTGAAAACTTTCCAAACTAATTACTGAAAACTTAAAACTAACCTCCGGTCATTAAGGAGATCAAAAAGTTTCCCACCATATATCTCAAAGAAACTCACAAACAACTGAAAACCTTGGTTCCGGTATGTATGGTGCATTAATCTCAATATGTCCTGGGATGCCTTAAGTGGCAATGGTTGCATAGTATAAGTTTTCCCACTCCCTGAATGAGGAAAGAGACAATGAAATCAAGCTTATCTATGACAAATGTCAGCTGTGCTTATAACAACTTCAATTTTGGAAAAATATCTGTATCTCATTTTAATTCAACAAAGAAATTCATAGGCAAGTTCTACATAATCCACAACTAAAAAATTCAACAAATAGTCAAAATAAATATCTTCAAATTGAGGGGAAAAGGAGAACATGAACATGAGTAAACATAAGCAGATAAGCAAGAAAGTGGGAACAGAAGCCATACATGTACATATTGCACAGAATGGGAGCAATAGATTGTAACTATACACTATTCCAAACGGAAAAAATAGGAGAGCCTCATCAGTTTGAAAATTATTGAAAAGAAAGTTTCCTAAAGTATTAAACATGAACCAGACTTGAGATACTCAAGCACTTGCCTGTTTGCCCATAAGCAAAACAAGTTGCTTTTGTTCGCTGGAAAATAATTGGAACAATGGGTTCCACTGTCTCGCGATATACCTACAGATAAAGAACAGAAAAGAAAATACCATAAGATCAAATTTTTAGGTATCAAGCAAGATAATGGGCAATGTCCTGCAGTTTTTGTCTTGCACTCACTTCATCATTTGAAACCTGTTCGTTCAACACTGCATCAAAGACAAATTCATGCTTCTCAACATACTCGGTAAGATCAACCTGCAGAAAATAATAAATTAGGATATGGAAGAGATTTTTTTATCTGAATAAGAATCTTGATACTATGAAGGAGAGATACAAATAAGCTATGAAAATTATCAAAAAACAATAAGCAAAACAAAAGAAATTAAGCCCAATCATAATTTTTCCAATGGTCATAAGAAGGCCAGTATTGAAGCATTGGGGGAGATCACTTTCCCATATGCAAATACATGTTCAGAGGGTGACAGTGAGACCCAATAGTAATCTTTTGAAGCCACATTCATTCACATGGAAAAGCAGGCACACCAAGCAAACAAGAGTAACATTCTGAAGATGAAGATTTAAAAAGTTCATTGCAGCAAGCAATTAAGTCATTTTAAATGCAAACATGTAAACAGAAGCCAATCAGACCAACTTATTATTTCTGGCACTTGTACTCTGACAGTCACCATTACTGTAAAATCATGCAGGTGGTAAACAATACGTAAATGAACATGCAATATTAGAGTTGCCAACATCAAAATGAATTAAGTTGGAGTACATCAAACGCATTTCCATAAAGTAAACAATATAATACAATTGTTTCAACACTATAAAAAGAAAATCTTATATGCATGAAAAACTTCAAATCTAGAGTAGAACTAGAACATATGGAAATTTAGAGAAGTGAAGTGGGTGCATGTAGAAAAGAGAAGTACATGGTACAAGGAGTAACTTTTGATAAGAAATAAAAGAAACCCATGACTCTGTAAATAGCATATCAGCATCCAATGCCCTAAGTAATTAAAATCTTTACTTCCCTACAAACTACCTATTTTTTTCCATTAAAGTATACTATCACCAAATCAACTACAAAGATATTTTTCAGCTAAAAAAGGATGAAAGTTGTAGGAATTAAAAGAATGAGAAGTGATGCTAACTATTTTCAACAATTCACCATTGTGCAAAGATTATGAAGTATGTCAGGACTAGACAAGAATGCAGATAATTAAAAAAAAAAAAAAACACTAATGGGTACAGAGAGTAATAAACAAGATATACATGCATTGAGTAAAGAAAGAACTGTCCAGACAATATAAAATATAAAATGTGTAACAAGAAAATGCGTAAAAACAAAACAAACAACTAGAATACTTTTATTAGATCCCTTCCCATCATGAGAATTCATGCACATATCAACTAAAAAAATGTGAACTACATAAGACAAACATGTTTCAAATATGCATATTTCAGAATATTATTTAGTACGCCCACTCATGGCAGGGGTAACATTTCAGACTCTCAAATAACAGACAATGCAACAAACAGTTGGGTAAGGTTGCAATTCCAATTTCAATCAATTCAATTTTTTTCCAGGTTGCATTTTCTGGGTCTTCAACAGGATAACATCCAGGCTGAGCATAGATGGAAATCTCAATTACTGATAAGCAAACCCACCAACTAGGAACTCACCTTGAGTTTAGTCTCATGAACTGTAAGAGAGTTGGAACTCGAATCTATGGTTATTATGTCTTCCTCTTTCTTTGCCATTTCCTTTTTATTAAGTGGCCTCTTGCGCACCTGCATTTGTATAGTATCTTTCATTGACATGTCACTAAAGTTGTAGCTAAAGCCAATTCACTCATGCAAAACAGATAAATATGATAGATCCATTATTCTGATGCAGAAGTAGCCACCTGATGATGTGAATTTAGTTGAAAGTTCATAAGATTCCTACGTTCATCTAGCTGACTCTCCTATTTGCTTAGGGAATTCAATTTTCTATAACATTTTTCTCACCAAGCCCTTGAACAGACTAAAATAAGAACATCAGAGCAGCAAAGAACATACCACAACTTTGATCTTGGCAACAGAAGAGGCCTTCTCCTTATCAGCTGTAAAGCTTTTAAGTAGATTGTTCTCTGGCAAACCACGAGCTCTGGTTGTTTGTTTGTTGGTGGAAAGATAAGGCTCGGAATCATCAAAGCTTCTTCCACGAACAGAATGGTAAAGGGAAGAACCATCATATAGGCCAGGAACTGGCATCTGCCCGTGGTATTAAATAAAAAATCAGCATATCACCAATTTTACAGTGGAACTTGCAAAACTCAAATGGCCACAAAAGAATGTCATATTTAAAGAAGGAATTATAAACCTGAATGCACATCGATCATTCAACCAAACCTGATATGCATTCTTTGGGTAGAATTTGATCCTACCCGACAACTTAAGGTTTGAGTACAGGTGCTCTCCATCAACTTTCAATGACATGACGTGATTGAATCAATCAAATATAAGTCAGAAAAAAAGGAAATTAGAGTTGATAATTTGCACTGCCATTTGGCAATCAAATCCAACAAATTCAAGACCTACAAGTATCAAAGTAACTTTACCTATCAAAAAAAAATACGAGTATCAAAATAACTAAAGCTGAGACTCCCTTGATATGAAAAACAAGAAAACCAAGAGAGGAAATCTGATAGGTGGAACTTCAGAAAGAACAAATTATCAAGGGAAAAAACTGAATTACAGTTTCAATTTACCGGAGAGAGAGAGGGAGAGGGAGAGAGAGATAGAGAGAGAGAGAGAGAGCAGGATACAGAAATAGTGCATTAAGTAAAACAAGACATCCAATTACAGATGGTATATGAAGTAAAACCCGTTATCCAATCAGCATTCAAGATAACATTGTACAAACACCAAACTGCTCGTAATCGCGCGGAAAACTTAGTTCATAAGGCAAAAAAGAGACTCACATCTGGAAGTAGCTCAGTATCGAAGGAATGCAGATCCAAGATCCCAGGGCTGAGCTCGCTTGGCGACACATGATCTTCGCCGTTCTTCCTCAAGCTGGATGACCGCGAGTTAACAGGAGGAGTCGAAGGCTCCGAGAAGAGCTCGTTCACTCCAGTAACACTCCTCTGCAAATTCCGATACATCTTCGACCCCTGAACTCCTCCACCTCCACCGCCGCCGCCATAATAACCATAGTCCTGTTCACAGTCCAACAACAAAGGAAGGATAAAAAAACCAACAATCGGCACCCAAAACTTCAATTTTTCGACACAATGCATGTCGAAATAAGAGAACAAAAAGATCAAAAACCTGTAAACCAGGTAAAGTCGCGTTAGACGATTGAAGATGCTGAAGACCAGCAGATTGAAGCCATCTTCCATTAGACGAAGAATCTAAGAAATTGTCCGAGTACTGACGCTGGTGATGAACGGTCGAAGTACCAGATCTCTGCATCTGCCTACCAACTGCATTCATCTCTCTGGTCTCACCTTTTCGATCCGATTAGGGTTCCGAATAGAACTTCCGTCTATCGTAAGTCAATCCCAGCCCGTAATTTTTCAAAAAGCCCACGCCTCGGATAACCGCACAGTAACAAATATTTCAAATTTTAAACTATTAAAAACAAATCTCTGATAGATAAGGATAAAAAAATGACACACACGCGAGAGAAAGAGAGAGAGGGAGCGGAGGGAGCTCCGATTTTCAGAGAATGGATTTTTTTTTGTGGTATGAACTTTTGATAGAAGCTGCAATGGAGGTTGTTGAGTTGTTTTGAAAAAAACAGTAAAATAAATTTTGGATCGAATCAGCAGAAGCGAGAAAAAGAAATGGATTTTAAACTTTGAAACGAAGACCGGGGCAACCCTTGAGTTTTGAGTTGAAGTCGTATTTAGATGACTTGAGAGAGAGAGAGAGAGAGAGAGAGAGGAGAGGTGTACGAGTTGATAAAAACACGTGTGAACAAAATCTGGCGCGTGTGTAACACTATAGCCTGCTCAAGGTTACTTTACTTCATGGGGAAATATTCCCAATGCAACGTTGCAAAAGACTGTTAGATCGGTGTGGGCACAAGTCGATCTCGCCGGAGATATAAAAACGACGAGTACCCGGGTCCCATCTCCCATGGTGCCTACCTTGTTTGTAATCACGTGGTGGGCCCGGCTCGTTCACCCCATTCTCTGTCGCTTTTCATATCTGATGGAATAAATGCAAAATCTGTAGAAACGCTTGGATCGGAACCTTCTGTGCCGTAGATCTGCGCCGCAACGGACGAGATTCCAGTCCAGTATATAAAAAGCTACGAGTCTATGGTCGCCTATAGACTATACATGTACTGATTGAACGCAGCTCCCACTCACGTCAGACAAATCATTCAAATTTCGTGAGCGAGAGGGCGTTTCTGAATTTGATATGTTGCGGACGTGGTGTGATTTCATATGTAAGACAAACCAGAATCACAAAGCCATGTATGGTCTACAGGACTACTGGATTTTATCCGGGGTCCTATGAACTATACGCAAATAGGATCTACCGTCCACGTGTTCCGGGTATGCGACCTGGATTGGAATCTGGTCCCACTTGTAAGATATCCGTCTCCGATGCAAGAAACTTGCGTAGATCGTGTGGCTGTTGAAAACGTCTCTGATGAGGACGTGCAAAGACGTTGGACCACAGGGAGTGGTCAAATTAATGGACGGTTAAGATTAATAAGATGGGCAACGGATGGTTGATGGTTTGTACTTTGTAGAGCAAAGAAGCGGGAAGATGGGTTTGAATCGTAGGGTTTGAGAAAATGAAAGTAAAGGAAGGAATAGATAATAGCTAATAGATAAATGGATGTGGTTTCCCAAAAAGCAGAGGGCTGAAGGTTGGACAAGGGTAGTGGGAACTGGGACCGAAGGCCGCGTCCCACGGCACGGCTACAGCAGCTCGCCCATTGAGGGTCCTGTTTGGCAATTAGCATTAATACGTTAAGACTGATCTCGATTAGCGAAACAAGTACATAATGGTGGATAATGGAAGAGCTGAGCAACTGAGCAAGCATCTCCCAAAAAAAAAATATATATATATAGGGAAAGTTTCTAATCAGTACCTATATTTTGGCTCTAGTAACAATTTAGTCCCTCAATCTTGCGACAATCTAGTACTTATCATTAATTGACCCTTATGTATATCGCATGACTTGTGTCATTTATGACTTTTGAAAATATCAAAATCATCATTGAAAATAAAACACACTGTTCATCATATTCTTCCTCTGTCACAAACACCAAAACCCTTGCAACAGAGCCCAATCTCTTTGTCACAAACACTTGCAACAACTGCCTTTTTCACAAAGTCATTGCAAGTCTTTGCAATAACAGAAAATTCCAAGTTTTATACAATTTATTTTTATTTGTTTAACTTAATACAGTAATATTTTATTCATACAGGTAAAAGAGAGGAGAAGAACTGAAAACTTTGTCTTGATACTTGAGAGAGAGAGAGAGAGAAAAATCATTGACAGTAGCCAAAGACTTTTCTCTTTTTCCATTTTTCAGATAAGATAATTACAGTAGTAAAAGGAAAACTTTTATCCCATAAATTGCTTTGGTTTTGGTCCGAATATGACGAAATATTTAGAGAAGAAAGACAAAAGTATTGTAACGGGGATGAAAAAATTGATGGTTGGTTTTGATTTTAGCGGATGGTTGATAAATAAAATTAGATGACATTTGAAGGGGCATTTGTGTCTTTTCACATGCCACTTAATGGCTGGTTAACGGTAGATCGGGTATTAGATTGTCGCATTTTAAAGTTTGAGGAGCAAATTGTCACTCGAGCCAAAGTATAGGATACTAATCGGGAATTTTCCCAAAAAATTACTAACAAATGTAATAGAATTCCGTCTTCCTACACACCCGTCTCGAGGTACTTCCTTGACTTGTTTGGCTGTATACACGTTTGTTAGTGAGATTATTTATTTCTTAAAGTTGTGTTTAGTTGCAATATAAATTTCATTTGCTTAATGGGAATGTAAAAGGGCCGAGCGTAAATTCTGATTTACTTCTGACTCAAACTTGACTTTGGTAATTTGTTTTATTTGATTGTGAGAAGTAAAATAAGAAATAAAATGAATTTACCTCATGGATGGTGAGTAGGTTGTTTTACCCGATCAAACCAAATCAATTATATAAAAAATTCGACACATCGATTTCGACTATGGTGTTGGAAAGATATGACGGTGGAAAAACTTACAATCAATCAACCAACATCATAAAAGTATTAATCAATCAAGTGGATTTTCATCAAAATTCACATGGGTTGTGATTGGTCAAAGCCTTCTTGGAATCATGTATTTTCAGCATCATAGGTTTTCTCTTATATTAATTATGGTTATGTGATTTTTGTCCTAATTAATAATTAGATTGGTTTCTAGTTCTTGCTTGTTCTCAACCAATTAGGAAATTGTTGAGTTAATAATATATAAAATTTTCCTATTTTTTATGATTTTTATTATATTTCATGTGTAAAGGGTAAACCTGAGCAGCAATATATAAAATAATTTTAGGGTTCGCTTGGTTCAAGGGAATAGGACCCTGCAATCAAAATCAGAATGGTCAATTCCATTTCCGGATGTTTGGTCGACCGAAATGGGAATGAGTAGACGGAATATGATTCCCCCGTGTGGGGGAATGGGCGAATGGCCATTCTCGACCCCCTCCCCCAGAATGTCATTCCCATTCCGCTATTTAGGTTTTTTTTGGACAAAGGACAAACGCCTAGTTCAGAACTGGTGCACATTGGCCCAGAAGCAGTAGTCACCTCAGAAGGCACAATGTTGTCGTCTCTTCATCAAAGACAACAGCAGCAGCTTCTGGCGGATCCCTACCCAATTTCACCATGTTCTACGAGCAGTTACCGAAGATCCAATTCTCCTTTCAACCGAACTGCCTTCTCATATTTCTGTCTCGCATGGTAGTTCTGGGTGTTCTTTTCCCGTGGATGGACATGATGAAAAGTTTCATTTCAGCTGGTGAGTGCCCAGTTTATGCACTTTCTTACTTATCTCAGCCCATAATTGGTTCATGAGTCAAATGGAACTCCCTATAAAAAATATGGGTTCAAATGCCACGAGGCTAGGATTTAATCATCAATCACCAAATTATGACCAAGTTTTAGCCTTTTGAGCTGAAGTTCAATTGTAGAAGATGAAATGTAGAAGTGACATCGTATTATAGATGTGAGATTTTTGTTTTTAAACATTCATGTTGTACCAGTAATATTTCCGCCATTATGAGAGATTTTTGTTTATTTATGAAATTTTCTTTTCATTTTTTATGGAGAATGATTTTTTGTGATTTTTGTTTGTTTATGTGTTTTTCTTTTCATTTTTTCATATTTTCTCCACATATGCACTTGTTAGCACCTTGCCAATGTTATATATGTTAAAAATATATAATGAGTGGATGATTTTGAGGTTCTTCTAATAAGGGCAGAATTGAAAATTTTGGCTGATTCCAATTCTAACTTCTAGTTGAACCAAACAACAATAATTGAAATCCGATTCCGATTCCAATTCCTGATTGAACCAAACAGGTGTTGGGAATAGATGATTCTGATTTTGATTCTTAGGGATTCCAATTCCAGTCCTGTCTGCGAACCAAACACACCTTTAGTTAAAAACACTTAAACACTTTACTGTATTAGTCAAAAACATGATTTATTAACATCTAAACACTTTAATGTATTACTGTCATTTTTATTAAGGTTATATTATCAACATGAAGTTTTAAGTTTACTACTAACATAGCTAATTATATACGTCATTATAATCAAGTTTAATTGGGTCAAATCTAATTATCCCGATTAATAACAGGGATGGCTCTGGGCCTATGGTTTTGTCCCAATTAGCAATCAATTAAGGAGTGGTGCACTTTGTCTAGAACTAGAGCAGACCTGTTAACAGTCCTAATTGACCTAAACTTTAAACAAAAAGAATAGAACTTCTAAGAAGAGGGTTATCAATCTAGGATATGGTAAGATATAAGACAATTTGATCCCCACTTTACAATAAAGAATTGAAGTAAAAGGAAGGTGGTGTAAATTTTGCATCATTTTTTGAGATGTAAAATTTGCACTACCAATGTGTGCAAAAGAGACAAAAAAAAAATGTAAATTTATTATCAAATAAAAATACAGTCCGCAACAAGGTGAGTTCAGGGCAGGGAATATACTCTCCATCCCAACCCTAACTACGAAACAAGTACCCGTCCCCAACCCTAACCCTTATTGGAAATAAACATTACCCCATCCTTGATCCCTGGCGGGGACTGTTCCCCCATTGGGGACCAGAATCCCCAAAAATAGGTGGTTAATGTTTTCTATTTCCCCACAGTAAGAGCAACTTGCATCCTTCCTTAAACCCCATTGATTTAGTGTATCATTGGTTAGAATCTTACCCTTCAAGATCTTCAGGGGACATCTAAGCTTCCAAATACTTCTCAGTCTCATGGTCATATTATCCAGAATTATATCCTTCTCAAAAGGTTGGTTGTATGCCGATTTGATAGTGAAAACTCCTATCTTCCTCCTCATCGATTGGGATGGGAATTGCTCGAATTTTATCCCATATTAACGGGGTTGCTATTTGAAAATTTTTCTCATTATTCCATACTTTTGGGTTTTTAGGCTGCACCTAGAAACAATGCAAATATGTAGAGTGTAAAACGGTTTATATAAATTACAAAATTGTGTTAGTTTTGCACATAAATTTATCTTCTTACAAAGTAGACTTTTAGCTGTAATGGATGCAAACACAAATTCCAATAAAGCATATGCTTGTTTTTATCAAAAGCCCACTTGAATACAAATTTACTTCTTTTTTATTGAAGTAC